GCAGTGTAGACGCTTCTCTCTCTGACGCTCACGACCTCCATTACGCAACTATCTCACTTTCAAAAGGTATAGAACCATGTCTGTGGTTTAAGGTAGTCCGCGAGATACTCCGAGGTGCTGCTCCAGTTCACAGTGAACATGATCCCTAAAAAGCTCGGGTAAGGGGGGGAGGGAGACCCGTGGACGCGTATATTTGGACCACCTCACACCCCACCGATGCGCCGGGGGTTACCTTTGGTTGTTTGTCAGTCTGCGGCAAGAAGCACTTTACGCGCTTCACGGTGGTACTGAGTGATTGTCAACCAGCATGTGAGGTGGTAGCATGGACCCGGGACCCAACTACTTACTGTGTACACCTACACTGTAAGGTATTGTCCAGATGTTCCTCCCACACAATCGTCAGAGCGCAATACTGTCCATCAATCTTGTCCTCGATCCAATGTGCAAAAAGACATGGTTCGTGGTTGGACAAGTGTCCTCAACACGAGTGAGCTATCCATAAACGTACCTTACAGGTAAAATAAATTTTAGCCCGTCCAATGTCTTGGAGTAAGGTACCTCACCTAACCTGCCTTGGAGCTGCGTTATCTTAGCTCCGGCCGCGTACCCGTGCACCTCTAGCGCCAAAAGTAGACGGCGGGAGACGTGCTGTGGCTGCCCATTGTTCTCTCTGCGCCCGGCCTCAGTACCCCGAGTCCCCAATCGACAGAGTTCAGCTTCTCGTCAGCCCAGGCGCAGGCGCAGGCGCACTGGCGCGTTGGACCCCATCCATGCTCGCCATGTCCACTATTGATGGACGCTGGCCTGTGCACCGATACAATGCGGCTGAAAAAGAGACGGCATACGTAAGGCAACTCTACCTCACACAACATCACCTAGGCCCATCCTTCTCAACTGCACCAAAAGGCCCCACAGTCTATTTCCACCGCAGCAGTATTACGCATTGCACTTGGAGGTTTCTACATCGAATTGGCTTTCATACAAGGACGCAATGAAAACATCACCGATGTCCACCAATTCGCCTTCGTGCCTCTGGTGAGCACCTGGCCAGTGGCATCCTAAAGCCACCTGGCTCGGGTCGTAGAGGACTGAACGGCGAGTGGCACGCATAGAGCTGCTGTTCCATGCCTCGCCAAAGCATGTGGGCAGGCGGAATTTAGGATATCGGAATGCAGTTACAACGGCCTCCCTTCATTCTTAGACATCCGCCTCTGATCACAATCCCTTACTTCCCGCATTGAGACAATCCCTAGAACCATGAACCATGATTGGCTCAGAACTTACTCAAAACCATCGAACTCGATTCGTGGAAAAGACATCAATCAACTCTTCAGAAGTCGACAATTCGGAACAAGTGATAAATGCACTATTGTGGTGTAAGTGAGAGAAGCTCGTCGGCGCTCCAAAGACCAACAGACGTACTTACTTACTTACTTACTTACTTACACATACATCAATAAGAAGAGACCGGACCAAAATATACACACCTATATCAATCATCATTGAAGGAAAAATGCAAAAGCTCAGCCCCCCCCCCCTCACGGGAGGCCTACGAAAATCATTAAATCATTGTTACGTACTATTCATCAGTTATAACCTACAACGATACTGGTGATTTTTCACGAGACTCAAACTCGTGAACCATGGGGGCGGCCCCGCCACGTCATGGGCCTTGGTGATAATATCGAGCAAAATTGTTCACTATGTAGGTGAGGTAGGTGTCAAGGAGAACCACCTTCCACCTGAGGTTATTCACAAGACCCAAGATGGCCAAATGCGACGAATATGCATGTGGGAATCAACATGGCCCGTGCGCTACTTCCTCCCCAAAAATTTGCTGACTAAGAGACGTGCCAGCCAGTTCGGGGTCAAGGTTGCCTGGGAACCTCCGAAAAAAGTTAACGAACGCGGCTGGTGAGCTTTGCCTTCGTCTCGACTTCCACCCAGCTGTACGCGCCGCATCCTGACGACATCACTTCGAACTGCGCGCGCCCTCTCCCCACACAACATGGCCTCGACTGCGACCAATGGCGATGCAGCCGCCGTGTTAGACGAACTCAAGCCTCCCACCGGTGTTGTTCTGCCGCCTCGCGAGATTCGCAATGTTCTCGAAAAGACAGCAGGTTACGTCGCGCGAAACGGTCTCATCTTTGAGGACAGAATTCGCGAAAAGGAGCGCTCCAACCCCAAATTTAGTTTCCTCAACAACACCGACGCATACCATGCCTTCTATCAGTGGCGCCTTGATGAGATCAAGGCCGGCCGCGGCACCGCCATCGCCGCAGGACGCGCCAACGAAGCAGCAGCACCCGTCGAGCAGAAGCCCCAAGGCCCGCCCAAGCCCCCCGATTTCCAGTTCTCAGCCCGCATGCCGCGCATCAACCAGAAAGACCTCGAGGTCATCCGATTGACCGCTCTATTCGTTGCCAAGAACGGTCGCCAGTTCATGACCCAGCTTGCCCAACGCGAGGCCGGAAACCCCCAGTTCCAGTTCCTCATTCCCAACCACACGTTTCACAACTTTTTCCAACATCAGGTCGACCAGTACACAGCGTTATTGAGAGCAAGCGGTCTGGGTGGTGAAGGCGGCAAGATTGAGCAGGAGCGGATCAGCCATATCCAGCACAACATCGACGACAAGTACCATGTTCTGAGCCGCGCGAAGCAACGTGCCGAGTACTCAAAGTTCCAGGAGGTTGAGAAGGTAAAGAAAGAGGAAGAAGACGAGAAGAAGAAACTTGAGTTTGCCCGGATCGACTGGAATGACTTTGTGGTTGTCGAGACAATTGTCTTCACCGATGCCGACGAGTCCGCGAACCTGCCGCCTCCGACGAACCTTTCCGAATTGCAATACGCTTCCCTTGAAGAGAGAAACAAGGCATCATTAACAAATCTTCGCATTGAGGAGGCCATGCCCGATGAGGAGACATCGTACAATGCCTACCCCCAAACCTCCCAGACATTACCAGTTCACACTAGCTATGCGCCTCAGCAGCAGCAATTCCAGGCGCAAGCACCAGCAGGCTTCCAAGGATATCCGGACGGCGCACCGCGACGATCGGCAGAAGAGGAAGAGGAAGAGCGGAGGATCCAGGAGAGGACAGAGGCACGTGCCCGGGAACAACAAGCACGCGCTGAAGCACGTGGTGGAACTGCTCCGATGAAGATTAAGGAGAACTATGTGCCCCGCGCACTCCAACGAGCCGCCAACAAACAGAGCGTCCAGATGGCGCTGTGCCCGAACTGCAAGCAGCAAATCCCCATGGATGAGCTGCAGGATCATATGAGGAGTGAGCTTGACACCTGCCGTCCAGAATGAATCTTGAAGATTGCTAACAATGTCTGTAGTTGAACTGCTGGACCCTCAATGGAAGGACCAAAAGGCAAAGGCAGAAGCTAGATACTCGACGACGAATTTGTCCACAGCGGATGTCGCAAACAACTTGAAGCGTCTGGCCAGTCAGAGAAGCGACGTCTTTGATGGCGTTACCGGCCAACCCTTGTCGGAAGAAGAGGCTGCTCGGCGCAAGAAGGCTACGATTCACAGTTTCGATGGTAATCCCGATGGCAAGAGCCAGGCTCACATCAACCACCTGCACAACCTGAATGTCGAGGAGCAGATCCGCGCTATTCACCAGAGGTTTGCGGACAAGAAGTAAGCGGGTACGAGCCAACAATGGCCGGATCGATCGGGCAAGACGCAAGGTTTAGATGTCGACGTCTGAGGTCCTGAACACTTCGGGCATGATATGACGGCGTAGACGTCTTCGGTTGAAGGAGAAAACAGAAGCTTTCGAAGTCGGGCTCCAGGAATGTGGTGGAGTCGGTGTATAAACATGGATAGAGGATTGGCTTGGAGGTGAGAACTCGGCGTTTACTGGTTGCTTATTTTCAGAGGACTCATGGCGCCCCAGCATCATCCCACCCATTTACCACCGGTCTATGGCGTCTGCTGCGGCGAGCAGAGTGATCCAGATGCCGGGAGACGGGAGTGGTCGAGGCCTACTGGCCGCGAGACGGGAGAAGGGTGCCTCAGAAGTGGTCCAACATGCATACTGCACCTGCTCGTGGTCAACGAATGTATTTGTATGCTAGCATCAAGGAGTGGACGCATTCGGCACATGAGGCCAAGATACAAATTGAGTGGACGATCTGCAGAACGAAAGGTAGTTCCAAAAAGTTGGGGTCCTGCTGAATGGGGTAAAGATATCTATTTTAGCAATGCGAATCCAACCTTAATTCCAACAGCAGCTCAAGATTGGGTTGGAATTGACGCAGTCCTGTGTACAATGCGAGGAAAGAAAGCCAGAAGGCTATTAATCAACTGTCCAGGTCTACATTCCTTGCTTCGCACCAAGACCTGTTCAGTCTGAGTGAACGTGGTGTACGGATATATTTACGCCATGAGGTTTCTTAATTACTTGAGAACTCCAGAAATGCCTCCCGGTCCACAAGGCACCCCCCACCTGCTCAATTGGGCAGCGCTACTCCGTACCGCTGTCCGTACCGCTCACAGTTACGAGGAGGTGCCCCCACCTCGTACCCTCAGACGGCGCATCGGCTCAGCCTCCTCCCAATAATCAAGCAAACCGGTCTGTTGCGGCAGCGGCCGGGACTGGCGTTCGTCATATCGCTCCCCCGCAATTCCACCAGCTACAGTAAGGTGACAGGACCAAGGTAAACCACGGCGCACTGCTTGCTTGCTGCCACCCTTTTTTGGTCGTAATCGGCCGCACTTCGCACCCGACTTGATTCCCCCACCTGCCTCCCACCTCGACATTTTTTCCCACAACGAACAACCCAACTTCACCTCACATCACCTCGCCTCGGAACCAATGTCCTAGTCACACAACAAGTCTCGCCGATTCGTAGCAGACAGCCGCCACAGAGAAAGAGGAGGAGCAGGGAGTCCCGAACAGCAGTCAGCACAGAAGAGAACAACCGTTCCCACCGAACCCGATATCGCGCTTGCGCATACCTTGCCTCGACAACCGACTCCACGCCCTCTCACCCGCCCACCCCTCGCGCGAAAGAACGTGAGAAACAAATACCCGCCTCGCCGACCGCAACTCCCCTCTTCCCGCCGAGGACAAAGCCGCCAAAACGGATCCCGGAAGCCAGAACACCGCTCGCGCTCCCAGCGCTGAGCCCACTTCTCCCACCTCCCCGACCGGATCACAGGCGGGCAGCCAGGCCTCGCCGCGCTTCCACCGGCCCATCATGCAGGCCATGCCGGATAACCGACAACAGTCTTTTGACGAAATCTACGGCCCGCCTGAGAACTTTCTCGAGATCGAGGTGAGAAACATCCAGCGAGCTTGCCAACAGCGGCAGTGCACCCCTTCCGTCCTCTCTCTAGCCTGTCACGATAATCCCTCTTCTATGCCCTCTTTTCCCCCTTCCAACAGCCCGCCTGCCCGGCCATTGTCGCATGCGCCCAAAAAGCAAGGGATCCAGTTCACACAATCTAACAAACCTCCGACCCCCCTCTAGGTCCGCAACCCCAGAACCCACGGCATGGGCCGCAGCATGTACACCGACTACGAGATTGTCTGCCGCACCAACATCCCCGCCTTCAAGCTCCGCGCCTCGAGCGTGCGCCGCCGCTACTCCGACTTTGAGTACTTCCGCGACATCCTCGAGCGCGAGAGCGCCCGCGTCACCATCCCGCCCTTGCCGGGAAAGGTGTTTACGAACCGCTTCAGCGACGACGTGATCGAGGGCCGCCGCGCGGGTCTCGAAAAGTTCTTGCGCATCGTCGTCGGACACCCGCTTCTGCAGACGGGCAGCAAGGTCTTGGCCGCTTTTGTTCAAGGTGAGGGCTGACTTTCGGGCTTATCATTCCTCGGTCCTATGTTGTGCTTGGCTATTGGGAGGGAATTGCACCGATATCGAGGCATGGAAAGCATGAACTGACAAGATTTGGGAATAGACCCTAACTGGGACCGTAACGCGTGGTGACTGAAGCTCCGCGTCAGCTTCTCCTCGTCCGTTTCGCGATCACCGAATAAACTGCGCAAGAGGCCGCCCAAGCACCATCGCATCGACACGCAGCTCGAAGAAGGGCTGACGGCAAAGAGCTCCATCTCTTATGAATGAAGAAACCCCATTTAACGCCTGAGGGTTGCTTGGAAGCTAGGGACGTGTGCGGGTGTGTGTGGTTTGGACAAAATTGAAGGGGGGCATAAAAGCAAATGGGGGGTCAGTCAATGTCTACGGCCATTGGGTGTGCGGGTTTTCTTCTCTTTTTTTTCTTCTTCTAGTTTCTTCCTCATCGTAGTGTAGTGTTTACTGCCTGTTGACGTTCAACTTTCCACTTCTTGCAAGCTTGAAATTCTTCCCCTCCCCCCCCCCCCCTTTTTTTTTCTTTGCGCCGAGCACGAAACCCCCGCCGAGGCGGACAGCATCAGCGTTGCTTATCTCCTCGATATAGGAGGAGGAAGAGGAGGAGGAAGAGGAGGAGGAGGAGGAGGAGGAGGAGGAGGAGGAGGGAGCGGCTGGCTGGGCGTGATCAAGCAAAAAAAAAAAATGAAGAAAAATTTGAGAATCATGACTGTTGAAATGTTTCCCAGTAAGTGACTGAGTATACGTGTACGAGTGGTGAAGAGGCTGTTATGCGACAAACTCATCTCCGCGTAATTAACTAAGCTTATGGTGTCCCTAGAAAGGAGAAAAAATTGTTTACTTCCTTCTTTTTAGGGTACCTGACAGCGGGAGGAGGAGTCTGGTTTTCTGTACAATTTGCCGAGATAAAAAAAAAAAAAAACATGGAAAAAGCGGCGAGCTCTAGGGTACTACTTACTTACTAGGCAGTTTCAATTTTTCCAGTTGGGGGGGGGAGAAACGAAAGCTCTCTCGCATCAAATTACCGAGCTTTTGAGATCTGGAAAGGTTGTTTCCAACATCAGACCTGGGTCTGGGTCTTTGTCTAGAAGAGGCCGTGAAGAAGTGGCAGGTGAAATCTTCCCTTTGCTAGAAAAAACTCCATAGTCAAGTCAATGCTTCTATGGCGATGTCTCGATATACTTCACAATCACATGGCACATATCGTAAACGCAACGTAACGGGTCGTTCTTTTTGCTCATGGTTTTTTACACCATGATACACAGATGTCTGCCATCTGCCATTTAGTGAAATAAACCTCATCCTCGTTCTTGTGGCACGGTGGAGGTGTAAGGTTTTTTTTCTTGACTCTTTTTTATACAATCGGGGAGAATTTTCTCCCTTAATCCCTCGGAACGCCATCTGATGCCCCCGCCCCCAAATAATGCAGTTTTAAACAGTGAGGTGAAATCCGCGAGGGTGAATCACGCCTTCCGTGAATAGAGCCCGACCCCTCCTTACCAGATGCTGGGTCGAAAGAGGAGGTCTTTCCTCCCTTTCCTTTCAGAGCCAAGCAAGTCTAGAGTTTCGTTTCGCTTCACCTCATATCGTACATGAAGAGCCTCCTCCAAGCTTTTGTAAATGGCTGTCAAAAGAGGGGGATGAGAAGAGAATCGTCGGAAAGCCCTTCGTCCCTTGATCCGTTGAATCCAATCCGTTCCGTTTGTTTCCCAGAGCTGCGATGGTTCTTTTGCGTCGATCGTTTTGTTCGTGAGGGTTGTTGTGTTTATGTGTATTATAGTACAATAGATTGTTACATCCAAAGAGGAGTTCGGGCAGGTCTGGTATCATCGTCGCTGGCGTGTAGAGAGAACTCGTTTTGGTGTTGTTGGTGGTCGTTGTTTGGGAATATCCCCATCAGCAGGGCATGACGAGACTTCTTACAAGCTCGCGTTTGCCTTGCTGGAGGCGCCAAAGAGGCGCAGTATGCCCTCGTACATGCCAAACATGATGGCCGCGCTGGGGACGGTGCGCATCAGGTGCGGCGTGAGACCGCCGTACAGGCCCATGAAGCCCTCCTCGATCCAGACGACACGGAAGCACTGCCAGAGACCCGTGTACTTGAGCTGTCCGTTGGCCAGGGGCGCCTGTCGTAGTCTTGTTCGCGCGACCTGTCAGGTAGTGTCAGTGAGTACACCGAAGAGAGTACCGTAGGGCGTGTAAATCATACCTCGTGAGGGTAGGCAAGAATGGCAGCAACCAACTTGGCGCCGCCAGCAGCACCCGCATTTCCCATCCAATCCACCGTCCGGTCCCAGAACGTCTTTTCCCTTCCGCTCGCGACAATGCGCTCCTCGCGCGCCGCCAGCCTGTTCTTGAGGTTCTCGTACAGCACCCACTGCAGCGTGCTCTCCGCCACGCCGAGGTAACTCGCGCTCATGCCCTTGTACATGCCCCGGACGCCCTCGGTCCGCAGCACCTGCTTGATGCAGTCCCAGCTGTTGCGGTACTGCCTCTGCTGCACGCCGCCGCTCTTCTCCGCCACGTTCTTGTCGAGCTGCAGACGCGTCTTTACGAGCCAGATGGGGTTCGTCGCCGTGCTCGTCGTCACACCGGCCAGCACGCCCGCCGCGAGGTGAACGCCCGCCCCTTCCTCGCCGCCATTAACGTATTCCGCAATAAGGCGCTTGCCGTTGCCGTAGGTGTAAAAGTTTATGCTCCTCGCGGGGATGACGCCAATGAGGTTCGGACCGAGGCCCTTGAAGAGCGCGCGGGGGCCCTCGATCTTGTAGACAGACCCCAGGATCTGGAAGGTCTCGCGGAGGTGGAAGAGGGCGGCGCGGTAAGGGGAGAGGGTGCCGACAGCCTGGGCGCGGGCGGCGTGGGAGGCGCGGAGCTGTGCTTGGTAAAAGTCGGATTGGAGGCGGGTCTTGAGGACGTCGAGTGGTGCTGTGAGTGTTGCGGCCGTCATGCCTCCGACTCTATAAGGGTCGAAGAAGTCTTGTTAGCTTCCTCTGGTGCAACCCCCTTTCGCAAAATTTCGTCCCATCCCAAGAACCCCCTTCCAACCCTTTTTTCGCCAACGAAAAAGGCAATGGATGGAGCATAGGAACGAGGAAAGAGAAGAACAGAAATGTTTCAGACGTACCCTCCAGCAACAAAGTGTACCCATGACTTTGCGAATGGTGATTCCTTCTCACCCCCCACGGCCGGGTTCTGTTTTGTGTCGGGGATGATATCACCCGTCTCGCGGGACGTCGGGTACGAAGTCGTATCCGGGGCGCGGCGCGCAGCCGGCCGGTCGCCTGTTGCAGACATGAATTCGGCTGATGCGGGAGCGTGAGCCATTCAGGCGGTAGAGAGGAGGAAGAAAGTGTGTGGCGATTCCGGGGGATAAGGCGATTCTAACTGCTTTGGCAGGGTAGCTTCGGCTAGTAGGAAGACGAAAAGTCGATTATAAGACGTAAGAGGTGCTCAATGTTCCATGTGGCGAACTTTGGATAGTGGGATGTTAAAAGAAAGTGGTGAGGGTTGTTGATATCGAAGGGGGACCGTTACGTCGAAATCATGTCGCGGGAGGTTAGGTTGGAGGTGAGGGAGCGGCTCGTCCTTGATGACGGGAATCTAAGGTAGGATAGGAGCTGGGCAACTTTTTTTTCTTATCCCCGTCCACCATAGATTTGCTTAGCGTGCTGAGATATGGATGGAACGACGCGCCACGCTCAGATTTCAATCTGTGCGATCCACTTTACCCGGCGTGCCGGCTGTCACCACTGTGAGTATGTGGCCTGTGCTTCATGTGGCTTTCCAGTCGCTGTCATTCGTCAAAGCAGCTGTCCCCTGCTAAAGGTACCTCACCTCACATTCCCTTACCTCACGGCTTGAGGTCCAGTGCTTACCTAATGTGTAGATATCCAAATACCACCACGAACAAAAGTAAGCCAGCTACACGTCACCACTAAGTAATTTGACACAGCACTGCAGTGAGCTTACTGTATATCATTATTAATTTATATCATTTTTTGCCTTCGTTTCCTTGGTTCGCACCTCGCAATGCACTCGCACATACGCACTATACGCACTACACACATTGCACACACAAACACACACTAGGTACGCTCTTTTCGAATCCTGTTGCCCCTCCTATCCCTCTGAATAAAGAGCATGGCGGTGCTGCTAGAGCGGCCCCGTTTCATGTATGAATAAGCCATCTGCCGCAAATGGTGTCGTTTGCTGGCTACCTAGATCATCGTCCAACCATGCTGCTCGCCGGGGTTGAGGTAGCATCCCGCGCATCAGCGGCCGCAGTCGCAGCCGACGCCATGTGGCTGAGCAGCATGTGGTCGTTCTTCAGACTGGGCAGTTGGTTCTGATGCTGCTGCTCCCCGCGGTGCGGGTGCGGCTCCGGCATCCAGGGCTTGTGGTTCATCGGCGGGGGTGGTTCATGCTCCACGTCCATGAAGCTGCTCGTCCTGCTTCGAGATCCAGCGTCTAACGGCGACCGCTGGCGATGGTCCGGCTGACCTCTGCTAGCCGGTCGAGAGACGTCTCCTCCTCCCGGCATAAGATTGGCGGAAGACGACGTAGGCGGCTGCGGCTGCGGCGGCGGCTCGTGAGATCGGCCGTCGTCCTGCGTTGGATCATATCGTAAAGTCCTCACCGGCGCCGGCTGAACCGGGCTCGGTTCTACGTGCGGCGCTTCGTCGGCGCTGCTGCTGGCCTCGCGGCTGAGCCAGACAATCTCTTCTTCGGTAATCGTTTTCCACCCGCACTTGGCGTGCTTCTTCGTACAGCCCTGGCAGGCCGTCAGGTGCTTGATGCACGGCGACTTGAGCCTGCGGCAGCGGTCGCACGGCGGCCAAATCTGGTCTCCCTTATTCAACTTTTCTATCCTTGCGGTGATGATGGCCCGGTGCGGCGACGACGGGTCATACGACGGATCTCTCTGTGGCATGACCGGCGGCGCATGCACGACAACTGGACGTCCCTGCAGGGGTAGTGAGTGCGGATGAGGATTTGTCGCGGGCGGTGTGTGTTGGCCCGTCGAATGGGCCTGCTCGAGGCCGGCGCTGGAGGGCACCCGAGGGGGGTAGGCCTGGGAAGACGACAGAAACTGCTGGAGCAGGTCTGCGTGAAGGTCGTATCCAGCTCCGTGGGCAACGTGGCCTCTGGAGTGGTTGACGGACTGGAACGCCGAGCTGCTTCCTTGCTGCCCGCCATGGCGCGAGTTGATTCCGGCTCTGCGGCCGCTCAAATGGTAGTTGAGCTGTCGTGCCCTCTTGGCGATCTCATCGGCTTTCTTGATGAGAACCTGTAGTCGCTGCTCCACAATTTCCAGTGTCGCGACCTCGGCCGTCTCATCCTCTTCCAGGGGAGCCGTGGACACGACTGAGAACCTGTCCAAGGCACCGTTAATAATGAGCCGCCAGTCATCTTCGAGAATCTGGGTCTGAATGCCGTTCAGGTAAAATTGACATGTCCGCTCGCCGTCGTGTCCGGTGGTGAGAATAAATTTCTCAGGATTTGTCTTGGCAAAGGTGACAATATCCAGCCAGCTCACGGGTGCCGCGCCATATGGAGGCGGTGGGTTGGTGATGATGGGACCTTCAAAAGCTCCCTCCATAGCTTTCAAAAGACGGGGCCCGGTGAGCTTGGCGCCCAAGTTTGCCGCGAGACTCTCATGTCTATTGAGAACCCCTATTGACCGTTGAGCATGATATTTCATAACACACACGAAGAAGTTTAAGGGGGAAACCCGTACCTTCGTACTGATTTAATAAACCAAGCACATCCGAGAATGTGTCAGGTTCTCCCTGAATGAGCTGGAGTCTGCCAGCACTGGCTTTGGATAGGTAGTTGATAATGGATGCATTGCCTTTTTGAGTTGACAATTAGTACTAGTTCATGGGACGAGATGAGATGCAGCGCAAGCGGGTATGGCCTATGGGGTAGGATTCCATGGCACAGGACAATTAAGCATTGCCAAGGGGCTTGGAACAAGCGCGATGCAGATGGAGAGGAAGCCTGAGCTGGAGTAGAGACGAAGATGGAGACAGGAGGGATGAAGTTTGGGGAAACAATGAAGAGGTAGAAAACAAGGTGCGGGCGGCGCTGGCAGGCAGGCCGGGGCGAGGGATCAATGGCGAGTCTAACCTCGATTGCCTCCGGGCGCGACGACGACAACGACGAGATGCAGTTGAAGGAAGAGATTGACGGCTCATAGTCCTTCAGCGCATCGCGACATGCTTGCTCTCTTGCTCTCTTTTTTTTGGATTTGATTTTCTTGCTGAAGACTTCGACTCTTGGATCACACACACACTGGCGCACCACACATACCTGACTGAGGCGGAGGAGGCTGGGGAATGCGATCAGAATGAGCTGGCTGAGCGCCGCCGTCGTCTGCGTCCCGTTTCCGTTTATGGGGCTCTTGGGAATCCTGGGCGTGCGCCATGGTGAGATTGTCACCGCGGGCAACAGACGGGAGGATCCCGCGAGAGCAAGGTGTCTTTTCTTCTTCTTCTCTTTTTTCACCCTTTCTCGTTGTGGCCCTTTGTTTCTTCCCTCTAGAGCAAGATTAATTGCAAAAACAAAAAGTCGGATGCGTGTGTGAGACGAGTGGTGATTTGGGTGGAGTGGTGTAAAGTATGTGTGTTTGTGTGTGTGTGTGTGTGTGTGTGTGTGTGTGTGAAGGCCAAAGGGCCCCGGGGCGTAATAAGAGGGATCCTGAAATCTAGGAGTTGGTTAGTTCATGGCGAAGCAGCACCTTTTGAGGTGGTGGCAACCCAGCAGACAGGGCCCCAGTGAAGTGAGGGAGGAATGCCTCAGGTAACAGAACAGATGAGAGTTGGAGGGGCTTGGGATGGAGCAAGCAAGCTTTCAAACGAAAGAGGAACGAGAGATTTTGTTGATCGAGGGGGGGAGGAGTGTGAACGAGGCCGGAGAGCCAAGAAAAGACGGGGGGAGAGGAGGAGGGTTGGAATCGGGGTTTCGTTCAGGATTTGTACGGGGGGAAACGGGGGACGTGGTCGGGGCCACAGGACGGGGGCTGGCTGGGAACTGGGGCGGAACTCGGGAGGAGGAGTAAGGCAAGGTACTTGTAGGAAATAGGCGTAAGGTACTTTACCTTACCTTAAGGTAAGGCGAGACAAGGAAACTTGGGTACCTCAACGTAACGTAAGGTAGGTAAGGTACTTACAAGCACAGGTAGGTAGGTAGAGGGCGGGTGGGCAGGTAGATGGGATGGGATGGGATGAGAGAGAAAGACCACTCAAGCAAGTATGTGCTCGTGCCGTGGGTGCGAATGAGAAGATATGAAGAGTAAGGCAAGGTTGGTAAGTGAGAGTGATGGAGATGGGACGTACTGCTTAAAGGACGGGACGGGGAGAGGAGGAGAGAAGAGGGAAAGAAGAGCGGACGGTGGGTGCAGCTACAGAGGCGAGTTTACGGGCCAATTGCCCAATGACAGGGGCAAGCAGGTGCCGAGTTCCCACCGCAAAGCCGCAAAGTCCCAAATTGGTTATGTCGTGTGTCGGTATGAAAGTGAGGTGAGTGAAATAGAGAGAGTGAGAAGGAGTACCGTACCTCTGGATGTGAGACCCGGGTTGAGCCTTTAGGAACTAGGAGAGACACGACGGAACGGGAGTTTTGAAGAGTGTGTTCCCTTTTTTTCGCGACGGGGGGGGGGGGGGAGAGGGGCGGCATCCGTATGAGTCGGGCGGGCGAGTGTATGTGTGTATGCAGGTATGAGAGTGAGTACCCAGGTAAATGAGTGAGAGTGAGAGTGAGAAAGAGGACAGGCGGAATGGGATGCTAGTGTAAGGAGGTGAGCGGTAAGGTAGCCCAGCGCGAGGCGAGGCGTGTGGAAGTGTGGAAGGAAGGTATGTGAGTGAGAGAAAGAGAGAGAGAGTGTGTGTGTGTGTGACGGTGGACGGCTGGGAAAATGCAGTGCAGGACCGCAATGGAAGGCAAAGATGCGCAGCAAGGGCGGAGGGGAGTTCCACTAAACGGATGGGGCCGGGGGTGGGAGAGGGGACCCGGCGTCCTTCTTTTTTCGTTCGTCGGGAAGGGAGGGAGCCTAAAAAGCTTGGACTGACGGAACCCGAGGACACCTCAGTTTTCCCAAGTACGGAGAGTCTAAAAAGGACTGGACTCAGTACGGAGTACTGTGTAAGGTTCAGATAGAGAGCGTTAGTGAGCGAGTGGATGGATAAGTGAGAGAGAGGCAAGGCAAGGCAAGGAGGGAGGGCCAGGCCAGGGCAGGGTCCCCCTCTTGGGCGTAAAGTGTGAGGTGTGAGGTGTGAGGCGTCATGCGTGAGGCACGAGGCACGAGGCGTGTGTAAGTGAGATTGAGATGAGGAGGATTGGTGGAACTTGAGCGGGAAGCAACGTAGAGCCAACGGCTGCCGGGAAGTAGGCAGAAAGCTACAGCAGCTCCTAGCATGGCATGAAAGGTGCAAGACAGGATGAGGTGGGCAGGCGATAGATCAATCGAGAGATACCCGACTGAAATCCGAACTATGTATCCGTAATAAGGGCTGTGGTTACCTTGAGGCAGGTGAGATAGAGTGAGTTGAGGTTACCTGAAAAAACGCCAAGCCAAGGCAGCGGAATGTGGTGATGATGCGTGGTGTGGACTGGGGTTGCGCCGGCGCCAGCTCTCAGAAACGCAGCCCGCCCCGGTCCCCCAAACACGCGAAAATCACCACCCAAAAGCCCCAAAAGAGCAACACAATCGACAACCAAGCAATTCTGGTGGGGGCCACACCACCAGGCTGGTTTGGACTGGACTGGACCTGGGGCTGTGTGCAGAGACAGGCCGTCTGTCTCTGTCCGTCTCTGTCCGTTGAAGAAGAAGCAGCAGAAGCTATCCTGTGTGCCTTTGCTTGTGAAGTCCCAGCGGCTCAGAACTTCAGCTCATGTAAGACGGCGTAATAGGGAGTCCCCAGCGATGCGGTTTTTTCTTGGTGAGTCCTTTTTTCGAATTTTTTTCTTCTTCTTCTTCCTTCTCCCCGCCGTTCTTTAATTGCCTCTTGAGTTCCTTGGTTCTTGACCCGTCGATAAACGCAGCTTGTCCTATACGAGCAAAGTGGGAAATTTCAAAATGGATGACGGCGAACTGTGTACGGGGGTGGCGCTGGGACCCGGCGCAGAGATGTCGTATAAAGCAATCGAGCGACTATTATGAGGTAAGATTGAACAAAAAAGCAGGCCGTTTCCCGCTTGTCGTCGGTTTCCTTATGTAAGACCGGCAGCCCTATGAAGGCTTGGAAGCTGAACAGTCCGGCTCTGGGAGCCGAGAGTGTCGGGTTCGGGGAGAATAATAACTAAGCTAAGAAGCAAATGATGCCTCCAAGGGGTCGGCAAAGCGGCAAGGTTTGATTCGCAAAATTTAAGCAAAAAAAAAAAGGGGGACCTGACTTTTGAGACCGAGGTGCCTATCATCGGCCCGCGACATAGAGTTAGAAGAGCTTCTTGATGCCGGGAGATGGTCGATGCAGGATATTGGACGCCGAACACAATTAATACGAGCAGGGAGCAAGCTGCCTGCTTCTCTCAATCAAGGTCCATGGTCCTTGGGCCCAAAAGAGCCGGCTCCAGCCTGGTGCAGTGCACAGCCTGGAAACTGGGGAAATGGAGGAGCCAACCGGCCAGTCGGCTTTGAGTGTTTCGAGAGGAGAGGAGTAACGGGCGGGAAGAAGGGGGGCCCATCTGGGTGAGACTGTCAGTCTGCGACTGTGAGAGACTCGAGACTACTGTAGAGTGATCGATGAATGACAAAGTGACTTGTCCAAGGAGGAATGGATGGATGGATGGACAGGCGACTAACAAGCTTGAGACACCGCCCGCGCTGAACATGAGACTCGGTCGGAAAAATGGGCTGCCGGGTGAGAATCTCAGAGGGAGGAGCGCACCGTAGATCCTCACCTGCCCAACTACCTTGCCGGGACACTGAGAGGAGAGAAGGCACCTTCCATTAGGTACCTCTCACCTCTCTAGGAACACCACCTGCAGAGAATCCTGACAGCGACATCCTACTCCGTGCAGAAAAGGAACATAAACGAGAACGACAAGAAACAAGACACAGGAACGAGACAAGAAGAGGCACGACGCACCACTGACGACGACGATAACAACAATAACAACAACAACCACCCCTTTCTTTTCCGTTGCATTGCATCTGTGATCTGACCCTGACCTCGTGCCTAGCATCCAATACTTCCCGCCCCCGGCGAACCGGCACGTCTCGTTAAAACATCCCATCTTTCTGGATTGCCGTCCTACCCTGGTGTGTCCCGACTTACACCGCGCGACGTGACGCCCGCGGCGCACGCACAGCACTTGACAGACAACCGGCAAGCGAGTCGCTACCTTGCCTAAGGGAACAAGCCTGCCATAATTCGACGGCGGACGGGGTGGAGGGGCGGAGCAAGGCCCTCTTAGTCCTTAGCAAGGTATGACGTTACCAAAGACGAACTAGACAGAGGGAACCCGCGCGCCCGCTGGTCAATTTGCGCGCCCGGGGCCATGGCACCGCGGGCATCCCCCCTCCAGCCGTACGAGGTATGCAGTACCCAGCACAGGTAAGTAGGCAGCCCATCCGTAGATGGAACCTTTCTAGAAAGAAAATGCTAATGCTAAACAGAAATCCAGACAAGGGACGACGGTGGGTGGGATAGAGAGGAAACACGGAGACCCGACGATTGGGAAGCTTTGATCCCTTTCGGACGGAGCGGAACGCGAGGAACGCACTACCTACTCGAGAAACCTACGCCTTTGCCGCTCTATGCACCATGGGAAAAGGTACCGACGTTACCCAAGACTTGAGGTCGAGGACCCAAAGTATCGCCAATCTATAAACTCCCTTCATCCTCACCACCCAGGATGCCTGTCCAACAAGCCAACCCCGTCTTGTTTCGGGGCGACTCAAGCGGACCCTCAGCATCACAGAAACATGACTTTCGCACCCCGCTCAAGTGCTCAAGTACCTACCTACATACCTTGCATGCCTCTGAAGTCCCGGACTAGGTGCGAATATGCATCGCTCGCCGCCCGGCACTCGGGAGCCCGCGCAAAACAACTCTAAAAGGCCAATGAGTGATATCATCGTCAACCGCAGTCTCATCTGCCCACAACGCTTCTAATTATGTCTAATCGCACATGACATGGTTGATCTCCTGCCTCACCCTCAAACATCACTTCAAGTCGTTATAAAACCAAACCAAGTCAAACGTTTCCCGACTTAGCAGCCCCCATCTCTCCCATGTGGCATGAACCACTTACCGCGCTGCCCCCTCCTTCCCACGCGATGCACGTGCAGAGATTCCAGGGACGGACGACCAGCTGGGATGTAACTCGCTCCGACACTGATGGGCAAAACAACTACCTTATTTTTGGGCCTGTCAATGTTTTGGAATTAAATCGAGCAGCAGTTGCCACTGGCCAGCGGCCCCTCTCCGCTCGCTCGCTTTCGCAGATCGGTTTGGTTTCCCTTTCGCCCTTGAAGACTGGGGAAGGGGGCACACCTCAGTGTCACACATACTTCAACAATTGAGTATACACCACTCCTCTCAAGTTGGTTGAGTCAATATGGAAACGTTCTTCGCAGCCCGTTAATCCCGAGATCCTCTCACTTTGGCACTGCTCAACCTGCATCTACATCACAGGGACTTTGCAGGGAGGCAGGGTGGTCAGAAGGGCGGACAAGGCTTCGTAACCACGGTACGTGGCCCCCCAATCTGCAAGAGAAGGCCGGCCAAATGTCCGGAGAAGGAGGGACGAATTGAATAGTAGGGGCGCAATTCCAACAACCTCGGGATTCGCCAACCAACTCTGTGATCCCCGATTCCCACTTTGTGGGCTTGACCTAAAGATCTAATGTAGCGGCGTAATGATGCGCTGTTTCCCGCTCTTTTGGGGGTGCTCTCGGTGCCCATCAATATCATCGAGGGTGGCGCAGAGGGCAGCGCCAAGACATTTTGGAAATCACCAACGGAACACGCGCCAGGATTACTTCTCTTACAGGAACTTCCACTACTCACGCGAGCCAGGACGAAGTATATCGCTCACCTACACAGTACATTTCCCAACCTCCCAACCCCGGCTGAATGATTCCATCTCCTCCCCCGGCTTCGTTCAAATTAATCAAGACGAAAGAGAAGAAGCTGCACAGCCTAGTTTACCGGTTCCATGAGCCTTGGTATACAGAGTACCGCGGTTCATAAATAAAGGTGTGTCGTCACTTACACGGGGCGAGCTAGCCCGTAGTCGTATTTCAACAACGACGCGCCCTGGCTTCATCATCGCCAAGACGTTTCGACTCGACCGTTGCGCGTCGTTGCTGCAAAGTCATCGACCTGTTCGCCGATCCCAGGAAGAAACAAAAAACCGAAATGAGATCTTCTGTTCCTTCACTGGTTCACGGTGATGGTTATTGGAACTTTTTTTTGCGGTGCAAGTACGCGGATAGGCAGCAGTATTTTCTCCCCGTTACCGAAACTTTATTTTCTCGGTAATACGGCTACGCGGCCGTAGTCGAATGATCGATGTTTGTTCTTTGTCATTACGGAGTACCCGAATTCGGCATGTCTCTTTCAGTCCGGATGCTGAAATAACTGACATTCCGAGATGTCCTCTTGGTGTTGTCTTGCGACGGCGCCCTAGCGAGACGAGCTACCCGCACAAGAAGCGTTCTTCGAGGACTTGCTGAGCGCCGAGTAAGTGTTGGTGAATGGTAAGCAAGTTGCGTCGAGCGATCGCAGGCGGGAGACCCAGAATCGCTGGAAACAATAACTCAAAATGATGGATGCTTTGAGAAAATAATAGCTATGTGAAATGTTGAAGCAATATTACTACAGACTACTAGGGGCTTGTAAATATATTTCATTTGGCTCTGTGACGATTCTCGGAAATCAGACCTGTAGACTTGATGCAGAAATACTTGATTGTGAAGAAGACAATAACTTCATCCTCTGCGATCGCAATTCGCAAGTTCCTGGAACTTCTTCTTGGTGAGCAGTGTAAGGTAACCTCGGTGAAGGTTCCGTACCTCAAATATTCCCGTCCCGTCCTCCACGTTCAATCGAACGCAAAGCCCGCGCCCCGCCAATCACGGAGCCCGGGCCTCTGAGCGGCGGGGAGGGGGGGGGGAGGGGATGGGAAAGGACGCACCAGAACCCGCCCCACCATGGAAGAAGCCCGGACCAAGCTCAAGCTCATTTTCCCACCGAACCTCACCCTAGCCTTTCTGGCCAACATCCCAGGCCCCAAAAAAACAACAACGCCTTCGACGACGTCACCCCGCGACAGAAGGTCTTGTCGAACACAGCGGAACCCCAACTGAATTTAGAGGGACATTTTTCGAAATAGACGGCGCATTGCACATCTCCACGATACCGGCAAGACCCAGCTACCCCCTCCCACAAACAGACAGCCGACACGACACGACATAACCAGGCGGCGCAATGGCGGATAGAGGCTCACACAGAGGCGGCGGCCGCGGCGGAGGCGGAGGAGGAGGAAACTACCGCGGCGGAAGGGGAGGAGGAGGTCGCGGCGGCGGCGGTGATCGAGGCGGTGCCCAGGGCTCGGGCGGCGACCGCGAGAGGCCCAAGAAGGAGAACATCCTCGACTTGTCAAAGTATATGGACAAGCAGATTACTGTCAAGTTCAACGGCGGGCGCGAAGGTGCGTTTTCTTTTCTTGTCTTTCCGTCCTCCCCCCCCCTTTCCAGGAGTTTGTGTGGTGTCAGTTCGCTAACGTTAGGGGGGAAACCACTACAGTCACCGGAACCTTGAAGGGATACGATGCGCTGATGAACCTGGTGCTGGATGAGGTCCAGGAAGTCATGAGAGGTACGTGTCTGCCTTGGCCTGCCCTTGTTCCATGCTTGGTGCAGAACAGGAAGGGGTAGCGTCCTCCCAGATGTGTTTCCGCGGCTAACGAGAACCAACGAACAGACGAAGAAGGAAACGAAACGACCCGATCCCTAGGCCTCATCGTCGCCCGCGGAACCCTCCTCGTCCTCGTCAGCCCCGTCGACGGAAGCGAGCCCATAGCGAACCCGTTTGCGCAGCCCGAGGAGGAATGAATGAACTCAAAGGGAAGGGGTGAGGGAGGAGGAGTCGGGGGGATGAGTTCGACTTGATATCCTAGCTGTGTTTGAGGGAGAGCAGGGAAGGGGGGCCCATCCAGCGACACTCATTGACAAAGCACGGCTTTATGTGCTCTGCGAGATGGAGAGGGGCTGTGACGGCGATGCGCGACTTGGGCTGGATGTATGGCAAATTCGAGATACCGATGCTTCTTGCGTGTCGTAGGAATGCAGCATACATCAGCAGGAGGACGGGAATATGATGATGGTGGTATATCAAAAATTCCTCAGATAGAAAAAAAAACGAGAAATGGGGGGGTGATGGGAAAGGTATGGCGTAACCATCATAACGACGTCTGCCTCACGCCATGATATACGAAAAAAAACATGAATGAAAAAGAGATTTATTTCGTTACTGTTCTTTGCCCGCATTCGTACTCTTCCATCTAACTGAATCCTCCACAGTCAGCGAGACCGCTCACTCTCCTTTCTCTGTTCCTTCTTCGCTCACTCCGAAGGCTCCTATACGCTCCTCTTATAAGTTCGAACCTGGCGAGTAAGCGAGTGAACCAAATGCGTCCACCCCGTCATCTCACGCGCCGTTCCAACCGTTCGATCATCCGTAGTCCAACGTCTTAAACCAACGCGGGGTAAGTCGTCACACTCCGTAGTGGTTTCTCGCATCGTTTGAAACGCAGCCCCGTGCATTGCAATCCAACCAAGTCGAACCCTCGTTCCCTTCCCCTTCGTGACCGTGATCTCCATCTTTTTCGTAACCGTGGTATTTCCAACCCTCCCCGTTCTAGTGAGAGGTGCCTTGGAACCCTCGGTTCGACGTCTGTTTCCCTGCCTTGAGAAGCTCCCCGAAAGCGTTGCCGAGCTGCTTCTTCAGCTCCTTATAGCTGACGACAAAGCTCGTCTGCTCGTCTCGACTCGTAAGACAGATCCGATCATCGCTGCCGGCATCCAACCTATTTAGGCATCGGATAATGTGGCCCATGTCCACCACGGGGTTTCCGTTCGCGTCGACCTGGTGGAACACGTAGTCCCGGAATAGTTTGAGCATGTATCGCTCGCCGTTTTCTGACCAGTTCCTGTCGCCGTCGAATTCTTGCCGTTCGTTGACGGCACCAAGCTTGGCCATGAGGCGCACAATGCGGCCGTTTTCTAGTTCGCGGAACAGGTCCGACTTCAGGGCGTCCGCTTCCTGCAAGCTGGCATCCAGCGTGGCAACCATATGGACTGCGATGCCCCGGACAAATTCTTCTATACCCTTGGGCGTGGCACCAACCTGGGAGGGAGTCAGAAGCCACAAGACGGTATCCGTGATTTCTTTCGAGTAAACCCTGCTCATCTGTTCCATCGACCCTTTGAGGTTCGTGAGCTGGCTCGGCGGCGTGTTAGTAGCCAGTGATAAAATGAGTTTCCCGAATTGAATCAAGTCCTCTTGCTGCAGCTCCTGAACTGGGCGACGATTGTCGAACTGAACAACATCCAAAATGGAGCAGGCACTAAGCCGGATGCGATTCTTGTCCGTCACAATGACCTTGCTCATATCAAGGCATCTCGCGGCCAGGTTCAATGTGTGGACAGCCTTCAAAGCATTGGCTATCTGGGAAATATAGCCCCATAGGACGCTTTCGGCTATGGGGTTCTTGGCGCTGAAGCGGGTGCCGTGGGTGGAAGCCGATTGAGAAAAGTGAAGTTCGGCGAGTGTTTTAGAGAGGGGATGATAATCTTGTACGAAGAACAGGGAACTGTCGCCAAAAGCTCGAGTGGTGAAGGCGTCGTGAATGCCCACCACGTTGCCGTTGTTGAGCCTTCGCCACTCCTTGACAGAGCGAATAGCTTGCTCGTTGGTTAGTCGGTAACCTGTTCTGCGTTAGTAACTTCGAGGAAAGGCATTGCTGTAGAACGTACCCTCGAGCCGTCTGAGGCAATATGTTTTGCCGTTCTTCGAGGATGTAGCCTTGTACACCCATGTAGTGTAACCGAAAACGCTGGAACTCTTCCGATGACTGGTGTCAAGGGGAACAAGGGAGTAGTAGTTGTCTAATGGAGGTAGTGTCGAGTCTATAACAGCATTAGACATTTGTAGCACCTGTTGTTTATTGCATAGCTTACTCGGCATAACCTGCTGTAAGGCCTCGGACTTGCGTTGCATATCCTCGCGCAGCTTCTCAGGTAGGAAGAAGTCGTGAATTTGCCTCTGAAACGGCATTAAATCATCTCTATACGGCCCAACGGGTGCGTACAGATGGTATTGGAGCTACCAGACGTCAGTTTTGACATGGGCAACATCTGATACGCGTCCTCTCACCGGTTGAAGCGGGGCTGTGTAAGCATTTTGATGTTGGAAGTAGGCCCCTGAGCCAGCGAGTCCGGTAGGATCATCGGCATAAGGGTTGAAAGGTGTGGCCGGTAAGGGCTGGGCAACATTTGGCATAGCAAAGGGGTCAAATGAGAGCCCTGTCTCAGAAGCTGAGCCATTGGCAGTAATCTGCTTCGACGTTAGTCTCGAATAATTTGTGAGGCATAGCCATCCATACACCAGTACTCAGCTCAAAGTTTGATGGAGTGAATTCTCGAAATGTAGCAGGGTTAAACACTGTCGACGCAGTTTCGCCATCGGGAGCGGCGGCTGGCGTCGCAGCTGTGAAGACATTAGATGAGATAGTCCATGGTAGAATGCGACTGAAGACGTACAGCCTGCTCCTCTGGGAGTAAAAACGGCTGCACTCGCAGCCTGGGAGGAAAATGTCGATTTTTTTGAAGAGCCCCCTATCGTATTTGCACTCGGTGATGCCATCGAGGGCAGACCGGCAGGTGTGAATGAAGGCGAGTCGACATTGAGAGCCTTTCTCGCGCTATTAAAATCCATATGTTAGCTTTGTACTATTGATGCTTGTAAGTAAGTTTGATTGTTTCCCGCCATCGTCAATACTCGCTTTACAAGTTAGTGGTCTACATCTCATCTTCCATGGCGCTGCCCAACTCTTATTCACAGTTTTCCGACCAACAGCATTGGTCCATATTGACCATAAGGTTACTAGTCAGAAGTCCACGAGGTTCTTGCTGCATATCGCAATGTAGGCCTGAGCCGATCGGCGGGGCTTCATCCAGGACTGCTATTAAGCGGCCCAACTCCTCTTTCTATTCGACGTAGGTCTCAATGTCGAGAAATTCAGTCCGGCACAAGGCTCGCCTGGCACACGTATCGCCGGAGTCTGGCAGCGCTGCTGGTCTCACTCCAAGGCCTCTACAACCGAGGCGCCTCCTTTTCCTCCAGCAGAAGAGCATCAGGTCTCGATAGCGGATATTGGCAGTTCTCGAGCATTTTGGACGGATCGTTGGGCCATGGAACCCGGTCACGATAGCGAAACGGATCTGGACTGTGACCTACAAATCAGACTGGTTACTCTGTCCTCCGGGACTATTTTGGACCGAGTTCGATCGATTCTGGTCGTGGTTGAAGGCGCAACCGGTGTTCTCGTATCGGCAGTGTCCGTATATCATTACGTTTCGGCATAAGGTCTCTTTGTTTTCTAATCCAATTGACAAGGCGTCAGTAATCTAGTGAGGGCAACGTGGTCGGAAGGGCGGCGTGCGCGTTGACTCGCCTCGGATTTTGGGTTTCGGCGACCCAACTTGTCGACGGAGGTCGGACTGGGGGTATCGCGAGGTGGCCATGATCAGTAGTTTCGGTGAAAGAAAGTTTCGTCCCCTTGGTCGACGTTACGACGTCTGCACAGAGTCAGCCAAATCCAAAGCCCATGATCGAGTTGTCGTCGAGGTCGTTTTCATGGTATGGACGCGCGCGCGCTGGGTGTGAACGGGGGGGAATTCAGGACTTGGGCTGTCTGAGCGGGGTGGAGAGAAGACAAAGGCGGGAAAAGAAGAAGGACTGGAGCTCGCGTGGGGCCTGGCGCGAAGCCGGACTGGGGGCAGAGGACATTTTTGGGCAGACGCACTTGATCCTTGCAGACATTTGCCATGGCTCGAACACGTTTGGTGGGGTAGGTGTCTCAATCATGGACACGATGCCGTGCACCAGGCGAGGGTCGAGGTTGACGGCAGATCAATTTGGCGGATGATGCAAGGCGACGGGATGAAGTCGGAATAAGGCCCAGTCGAGATAGTATCTTAGGTAAGGCGAGGTAGAAGTAAAGCACCGATGCGCGCACCGTATCTTTACTTGGAAGGATGCGTACGGATATGCAGCCCAGCGCAGGAAAGGCGGGAGGGACCAGGAAGGACAGAGGGAAAAGCAGGGACCGGCGACAACGGCGCGAAGGGCGGCGGAGCAGTCCAGTGAGGTAGGTGGTTTATGTGGGTGGGAAGATAGAGAGGTGAGTTTGGCTACCGCGCGGCCAGGAAATACCCAAACCTACACAGGAGCGGGAGTTGGCGGTGCGAGCGGAGGTTAGGCGTGGTGGGAATGGAACCAACCAAGTCAAACCAACTTACTGCGCAGGTTGGGTCCAGCACTGGGAGGAGGGATGATGACACACCCTCGCGACATTAAAACCGCTAAAAGTCAATGCTCTAGCACTATTAATCGACATTCGTAGGTAAACGCGCTGGATTTGGCCGTGAAAGTATGTCATTTCCACAATATCCGAGCGATAATAACATCTAGGTTGGACTGGCCTTCACTTGGTGCATAACGAGATGGATGTCACTCGCTCACGGCTCAGCTCATATACGTTGCATAAATGCTAGCCTGATGTCACTCACCCTCGTGAGGTGAAGTACTTCCGAACATCGATATTTGATGTGGAATTGATAGCCGTATTGGCATTCATGTTCCACCTGGCATGTCACGTCAACCGAGGATGAAAGGCACGTTATGGAGAACACTATCATTTATTGGATGTCTTGGTGATTTTTTAGAAGTCTAGCACTCCCTTATAGTGTTTGTAGCTTAGGGAAGATCATGTAGGTGTCCGGACACCATTTGCAGGCATCCTCGGCGGGGGCTATGTACCTATCCGGCACGTCTCCCCTCATCGGGCAGATGCAATTGCCATGTGTTCAGATAAGCGATAAAGCATACCTAGGTACTCTTTGTGGCGTCACAAACGCGATTCGTCGCGCAGACGCCAGCAGTAGGTGCTCCGTACCGTACCTTACCTCATGTACCTTACCTTGCCAAGCCCTTGAACATCCGACCTCCGCCCACGGACAAGTGTCGTCACCGGGCGAGACACTCTCGACAATCAGCTGCGACTAGCGGAGCATCTCAGACACCCGGTCACTTGCTACCAACGCATCCAGCTTCTCGTCAACGAGCTGCATCAAAGCCCAAAGCCGCTTCTTTGATTCTTGAACTTGTCCTTCTGTCTTCCCCACGGATCCAGCTGTATTGATTTTTTTTATTCCACGGTCAAATCATTTGACCTTTGCCAATCTATCCCGACTGTGGCTGACTGCTGCACCGCGGAAGGGTCCTTCTCCGCTGCCTTGCTTAGCCACGTTGCTCTTTGCTATAACCAGCCCACTTCCGCCTTAGCCTTTCCACACCGTCAACCTGCGCAATCACCTGTTCCATGGACCACTGAAGCTTCCTTTGGACTGTATCCATCGTCGCTTCGGCATACTCGCCAATCTTGACTTTGTGTGCAGCACCGAACGACAGCATGGCGGAGAGCGGAGAAATAGATTTGGGACAGCTGTCTGCAAGTCAGCAAGAGTCCCTCCAGCAGTACACAAGTGTCACAAATCAGGAGCTCAAGGATGCGATACCACTGTTGCAGCGATCGCAATGGAACGTCCAGGTAAACTTGTGCAGTGCGGTACTGGCCAGCTTGCGAACTATGCTGACTGATCTGGGTACAGATTGCCATCGCCAAGTTCTTCGACGGCGAAGGCCCTGATCCTGTCGCGGAGGCAATGGCACAGGACATCCCCCGTACAGAAGCGCGGCACGAGAACCTTCAAGAGAGTCTGCTCGCCTCTGCAGCTCGTCCACCGGCTCCTCGGAGAGATCGACCTGACCCCGCGCCGCGAATCGTTCCTCAACCGAATACAGTTCACCGGCCGCCATTCCTCATCGGGTTGCTTCTGGCGCCCTTCAGCATCGGTTACAGCATCGCATCCAAGGTGTTTCGGACCGTCTTCTACCTGCTCAGTTTCCTTCCCCGACAGATCCGGCCACGGGCCATCACAAGCGGGCCGGGGAACGGACTGCGGAGTACCAACGGGCGGCGGATGCTCATGCCCCGAGACACGGCCGCGCGCTTCAAGCGTGAATTCGAGGAAGAGTATGGAAGCACTGAATTGCCCTGGTTCGAGGGCGGGATTGCCCAGGCACAAGACCTGGCCAAGAAGGAACTCAAGTTCTTACTCGTTGTTCTCATGTCACCTGAACACGACGATACCGAATCATTCACGAGGGAAACTTTGTTGAACCCGGATGTGGTCAGCTTCATCAACGACCCGGCAAACAATGTCATTCTGTGGGGCGGCAACATTCTGGACTCGGAAGCGTATCAGGTCGCCCAGGAATACAACTGCACAAAGTACCCATTTTCAGCGATCGTCTGCCTCACGCCCAAGGAAGGAAGCACTAGGATGAGCATCATCAAGCGGCTTGCTGGCCCGATGCCGGCTACTGCATACCTTGCGGAAGCTCAGACCGCCATCAACAAATACGCACCAGATCTAGCAGGCGTCCGAGCAGAGAGGACAGCACAAGAGGTGGCTCGCAGCCTGCGAACTGAGCAAGATACTGCCTACGAGCGGTCGTTGGCTAAGGACAGAGAAAGAGCGCGACAGCGGCGTGAGGCGGAGAAGGCTGCGGCAGAAGCTGCACGCAAGGCCGAGGAGGAGGCCGAAGCTGCAGTAAGGCGCGAGGAGCTTGGCGATAAGTGGAAGCGCTGGCGGGTGACGACTATGGAAGACGAGCCACCAGCGAGCAATAAGGATGTTGTACGGATTGCGCTGAAGATGCCCGAGTCGTCTGGTGCTGGAAGGATTGTGCGCCGGTTCCGCAACGACACCACGATGGAAACGCTATACGCTTTCGTGGAGTGTTACGATGTGTTGACGGCATCAGAAGAAGTGTCAGAGAAGGCCGCTGTCAAGCCCGAGGGCTACGAGCACGAGTATCAGTTCCGCATTGCGTCTGTCATGCCCCGGGTGGTGTATGAGCCCAGCAAGGAGGAAACAATGGGACAGAAGATTGGGCGGTCAGGAAACCTGATCGTGGAGGAAGTGTCGGCCGACGGCGAGTCAGACGATGGTGAAGAATACTCGTCTTAGATGGAGACGGTACGACCCAGGACATGTGATCAAGCAAGTGTAGGATGGCACAAGGCAGAACAAGCAGTAGTAGAAAACCGCGCCATCTTGTACGCGCAGTGACCGGGCAGCCAATAACAAACTATTCCAGATATTGTTGCGAATACCTTGTTGAAGAACGTTGTCAGCAAGCTGCAGGATACAACAGCTTCTTATCGCCGAAAGCTAGCCGCGGGAGCCGTCTGCCCATCTTGGGTAAGCCAAGTGAGCCCATCGGCATGAGGCCGTGAAGTTCAAAAAGAGGATAACGACGTTGGCGCGGGAGCCAACCTGATGATGTACATTATCACCGCCCAGGTATCTGTAGGTGTACGCCAAAGAGGGGTTGATTTGCGTGGCCTCTTATGTCTGGCGCCTTGGGAGTTCCCCACAAGTCGACGGGAGGCCGAAGGGGAAAAAAAAAAAGTGTGTATGTACACCGCACGCGATGTATGTGGCAGGTCCCGTGGCGCTGTTTGGCCATACACGTACGTATTGAGGATGCTGCTGCTTGCGTGGATGAGTGAGGCTGTGCAGAGACGACTGTGCAGACCAACACTTGGCTTGCCGAGCCGTGGGGTTTGGCACAGTTGAAAGTTTCTATGGCTCGGCTGCAAGGTGAAAGAAGAGGCCTACTATCATGGTCGAGTTGCTCTTGTTCACTGTTCACAATGAACAACATTTAGATCAAAGTAGATGGCCTGTCTAGCTTGGTGTTTATGTTGATACGAGTTGCTATAATGTCGAGGAGCAGATTTGCCGTCCGATCATCTGCGGGAGGAAGACCCTGAATTATGGCATGAATGTAGACTGGACCGTCGTACCCGCCCGCATACGTCAAAATGGGGGGATGTCTCTGGTTAATGCGAACCCCAATTTTTGACATGGTCCTCTCCAAATAAAGTAGAACCCAAACTTAGGAGAATGAGGGTAAATAAACATTCCAGTAAAACGTGGTGGGTTGTGCGAAATTGGGACACATGTGGCAGCTAAATGCTAAGAATGCTAAAGTCTTGAAAAGTCGTCTCGGGTTAGGTAAGATCCGAATAACATGAGAAAGACTCGGAGGGATAGGATCTGATGAGGAGAGGATTACTCCCGTCTGGACGGATACAGAGGAGGAAAGACCCAAAACCAAAGTTTGGTGGTTTCGAGGTCCCCACCTCCGAGCTGTGAGATACGTACCAGGGATCGATGCAAGGTCTCCCCAGGCACTGCCGTCTTCTCTGGGGCCTCTGGGCCTCTTGCGCATCACTTTTTGCCATCCAAGTCGTCGTCATGCCTGCTCCAGACTCGACGCCGCGACACTTGTACCTGGTCTGAATAACTCGCCGCAGCAAAAGGTGCGACGAGCATACCTTCATCGGCCCAACGCGAACCGAAAACCCTTTCCACCGCCTTTCGTTTCTTCTCGTCGTTCGCACATCTTCATCCTGATCTGACGCATCCAACACACATATTTGCTCCAATCATTAACAACAATATTGCAAGGGTCCCTAACAGCGTGATAGACATACTGATATCCTCCTGCGTGCCCATCATCGTTTCTCATTAACAACCAACATCAATACACGAAAGGACCCCTTGATCTTTCTCCCCTCTGACCAAAGGAAGCATCTGCCCAGGCCCGAAAACAACCCGACGAACAGCCACAATCATTTGCGCCATCCTCCACGAAATAGATCTCCAAGAAGCGCTACCAATAGAGTATCAAGGTTCTTCAAAGCCACCGGCAACGTCCGGCTTTCGCAAGGCCAAAGACTACCGCCGCCGCTACGTGACCTCGACTCCGTACCGCGGTCAGTAACTCTCCTCGCACCACGCACTCGGAGAGGCGCAGACAAGCCCACTCGACCCGAACCCTTGCCAGGCGCCGCCGTCTCCCTCCTCTCACACGCCGAGAAGCTCGACACCTGCGGCGTTCCAATCACCCCGCCAAAACTTCTCCAACGGTCCAACAGACCAGATACCACACTACGCACCATTACAGCACACGCTTAAAAGGACCCCGTGGACGGTGGACCAGCGGGACGCCGGGCTGAGGTTTAATTTTAAATAACCCCCCAGTTCGTCTGGCCCGTCCGACCTTGCCTTACCCTTCCCCTCCGAGCGTCACTTCCAGGCTGCAGCTCAACTAGGCCCTGCGCATCCGTACCTATTTCTTCCAAACTCCCGCCGCTTGCCTGCAACCCACGCCCCCGAAACATACGCGCACAGCTTCCCGCATTGCTGTCATTCCATTCAGCGAACCTTAACCCTTTCCCACAGACAATCCGCCCATCGTCCATTCACTTCAGTCGTTCACGGCCGTATTGCGATATCTTGCGACGTTTATATCAAGATCTCTCCTGAAGATCCGACCACTCCGCTTCGACTCGGACGCATTTCCCCTTTGTCCGTAGTAGGACCCCTAGATCCGTGCTTCCGACGCAAGTTTCCCGTCTCCTCGCGGCTCAGCGCTCCTTCGCCCGCCGGTTCCGCGACCGCAAAGATGAAGGCCATGAAGGGGCTTAGTGTGAACCGGATGATGAGTACGCTCAAGAAGCGCACGACGAACAGTGAGTAGAAACCGACACCCATCCAATCCTCTCTCATCTTTAGAGTGGTCGCGAAAGAAGTGCTGATCGAGGTCTCTCCCCGCAAGACTTCAGTGGATCCAGCCAAGTGTCGGCATCGCCAGCAGACCCGCAGAACGAGACGCCCGAAGCTACCGCTGCTCGTAGCGTGGTATGCAAGATCCGGTTAACCCTACACCAACGATCACAGCTGACGTAGTATTCAGAAACAATTCTGCGAATCTGGAGGCCCCAATGCTCAGGTATATACTTAGTCGCGACAATCTGCGCTCGCGAAGAGCTTCTTACTAATAGGATGTCTAGGGCGATGAAGTCCTCTACCTCCCGCCCATTGTCGATGCCGCTGAGTCTTCTCCGGCCGCCGCCGCCGAATGCGCGCGCATCATCCGGAAATACCTAGCCAAAGACAACCACGCCAAAGCCTCGTGGCAGTACAATGCCATCATGCTGATTCGCATCCTTACCGACAATCCCGGCCCTACGTTCACGCGGAATATGGACAAGAAGTTCGCCGATACCGTCAAGGAGTTATACCGTACTACGCACGATCCCAGTGTCAGGCAGATGCTGTCCGAGACCTTGGATACCTTCGAGGCTACCAAGTTTGACGACCAGGGCCTGGGCGAGTTGATCTCCATGTGGAAGAAGGAGAAGGAACGAAGCTACAAGCAATATGGCGTAAGGGCTTCTAAAAGGGCAGTCGATTCCGTCCTGACCGAACTAACATACCTCGATAGAACCCCAGACAGTCCATGGCTGGACCCGATCCTCGAACCATGAATGCGCCGCCGTTCAATCCCCACTCGCAGAACTACTTTGCAAGGAATCACACCAATCGAAGCTTGCCCACTCCTGCTGAGCTTGCGAGCAGGTTAGAGGAGGCGAGAACATCTGCGAAGCTACTCTCTCAAGTTGTCGTCAACACTCCTCCCCAGGAGGTCATCAATAATGACCTGATCAAAGAGTTCGCAGACAGATGCCAGAGTGCTTCCAGAAGTATACAACTTTACATGACTGCTGAAAACCCGTCTCCTGACAATGAGACTATGGAGCACCTGATTGATACGAATGAGCAACTTCAGTCGGCTCTCAATCAGCACCAGAGAGCCGTTCTCGGCGCTCGGAAGCAGCTCGGAATCGACCCGAGGTCAGATAATGCCAGTTCCGTGAGCCCCCAGACGGCCGAGAATCAGCAAGCGAGTCGGACCCAAGAATGGGCGCATGCCCAGGCCCAGGCCCAGTCGTCATCTTCTAGCTCGACTCCTCCTCTGCCGACAAGGCCATCCGAAGGAAGCGGAAAGGGCAAGGCATCAGAATCCTTCGCACCACCCCCGGGACCGCCCCCGAAAGCCCAACCGCAATATGGAGCCGAGGACCCTTTCAGGGACCCTCAACCGGAGAACCACTACTCTTCATCGAGCAGACCCGGGGGATCCGGTGGTGCGGTGGAACTACCGGGTGAGGAGCCGCGTCTGGCCCATGAGCCATTCCACCCAGGCTTCAACCCCACTCCAAGTTACCTTGGAAGACAAGACAGCGCTCTTGGCAAAATCACGATGCATGGCGCCGATGAAGCCACTACGCCCGGACCCCTCAGCGGCAACCCAATTCAGACTGTCGATCTCAGGAACCGACAAGAGACACTGCATGAGGACTCGGATGATGATCTTTACGAATCAACCCCGAAGAGTTCCAAGAAGAAGGAGCCGGTGTACAGGTACTAAATTGGGTGGACGAAGCTCGATTCAGTAAGGAGATGATGTATCCTGCCATGTTTTGTTGATCGGCGAAAGGGGTTTTTTTCCCCCTGCGCATATTGCTTTACAGTCTCGAAAGGGAGAAATTGGGTATCTTGTGGTAGTTCTCCATCTCACGCAAGGCAGATGAAATTTGCCGCTCTTGATGAGCGGACACAGTTGTCGATTATAGGCATTAGCAAAGCACGGCGTCTGGCTTACGAGTTTACCTCTATGAAATCAGACCTTTTTATCCTCAGGGAAGTGATGATCCTCGTTTGCCGTTGCTATCAACCAGGGGGAAGTGACGAGGCAAAAGGCGCAGAAGGACCTGCTTCTGGTGCTGCTGAGAACGAAGGTGGGACCAGACGAACGTCTTTCGCTACCCGAGGTAGGTAATCTCCGATGTCATCTCATCCACAGGGTCTAAAGCCTCGCCCATTTCCTCTCATTTCTCCTCTGTTAAAATGTCACACTCTTCTGTAATCACAATCCGGCCAGGCGTTGGCACACCACCTACATTCCCCTACACTATCTTTGGCTTACCTGCCTCGATGTGACGCTAAATGCTACACTGCAGTCGAGCGGCGTTGCCTCGCTCGACGAGGGATTACCCCCAACTTCTACTGGCGCTGAAGCTTTTCGCGTGGCGAAGCAATCGTGAGGCAGCTGGGTGTGCCGCAGAACCCCAAAGTTTGCTCCAATCATCAGTGACAATTTTCAGGTCTGCGTCATATATCAGCCCGCGGAAGTACAACAGGGAGGTTTCGTAAAGCAGGCTGCGAGGCCTTCTGGGGAGGCAGCCAAGCTTATAAGAGGCATCCAATTTCCGTCGTGACAACAGACTATCCTCTACCATCCATTTAAAAAGGCATTGTCTTTGTATACTCGGGTGAGAATTTCAATGTTTGCCCCGTCTTTTTCTGCTCAATCAGCCAGGCCTACTTACCACTATTAGAGAGAGGATTCAGAAGACAGCAATATCCGAACACATCGCCGAACGGACAACATGCAATACGATACAGGCCACAATACGTCGGCTATCAGGCCCGAAGACCTCGAAAAGGTCCAAGGGCTTTGGAAATTTTAAGTACATCGCGTCAAGGCACAGACGTGGGCGTATCGGGATATCAAGTTCCTGGTATACGATGACACCGTTGACGCTGAGGAGGGGAACTCGAAGACAGGCCAGAGCAGCAAGGACACCATAGTCCCCGAGCACTCTCCCGTAGTTAGGTCGACGAGTCCCAATCTTGGACCATCTTCTCCACTAGAAAGCCTTCTAGACGGCGATGAAAATGCCATGTTTAAGTAAGGGATCATCGCGTCTTTGAAGCAACCGGACTCGGAAGCCGGGCGAGCTGCGGCATCTGAGCATCCTCCAGAAGACGACAACATGGACGATTCAGATCTTCAAGAGGCCATTCGCCTATCACTAATGAGTGACGATGAATCCAGCGACAACTTGATTACGGCGGAGCCTTCGAACTCGATTGCTGGACCATCTCCAACATGCAAACAGACCCCCGAAGACGAGAACATGGATGATCCAGAGCTTCAAGAGGCCATCCGTCTGTCATTGACGAGTGACGAGGAGTCTGGGTACGCACCGATTGCAGTAGAATCCGGGTCCTCTGTCGCCAAAGCAGACGACGATGAAGACGTCTTCGAATGCAGAATATGCTCGAAGCTACCCACGTCCCCCCACGATAGAAAGACGCGGAACTACCGCCTTTTCAAACCAGCGGACGAGTTTCCGCATCTCGTCACGGATCGGCCAAGCAGCGTCGACGTATGTGTCCACTATGTCGCAGTATCGTACTGCTGGCCTGAGGAAATCAAAGACGAGAATGGAAATACCGTTCCTCCTATCACCGAGTCAAAGGTCCGAGATCTCAACGGAAAGCCACGTGCTCGCGCACTTGACGATGTTCTCGACCGTGCTGTTGACTTTGCTAATTCTGTCGGCCTTCGCATGATTTGGATCGACCAGGAATGCCTCCCGCAACCGAAAGAAGATGGCTCAGAGGAAGACAAGGCATACCAGCGACTCGGGGTACAGGCACTGGACATAGTCTACAACAGGGCTATCGTTACAGCTGGCCTACACGAATCAACTATCAGCAAGACTGAGATGAGCGCGGTTCAATTCTTGATAGACCACGAAACCGAAGAACTGCGTTATTTGAGCCTCCGTCCACAGTTGTTCCAGTGTGCTTTGGATTTCTTGTACATGGTCCAAGAAGACAAATGGTACACGCGAGCGTGGGTTATTCAAGAAGCAGTCAGTGCCGGCCACGGCTTGGTTCTTGTGTTCAGACGAGGTCCCGGTGTTGTCTACACGTCCAAGCTCCGCGCTGATCAGAAGAAGTATTCGACTCCTCGACACCCTCTGGACTCGGAGAGGCGAACTCTCAAGTCAGAGATCATCTGTATTCCTGTAGGCCTCTTTAGAGACCTCGTCGAAACCTGCAAGTCTCTGCTGGAACAACGTTTTCGGGCTATGGGGCAGGCTCTGATTCGAACCAGCACCGGCAAGAATGCTACCCCGATTCTCTCCATCGCCAGGTCCCTCCATCCAAAAATTACAGTGCGCCAGCATGTGGCCGGTATCCACGTGTACGGAGGCAAAGTCTACGGCGGCCGTCAAAAGGTGAACGCTGCCACGGCTCGGACGCTGCTGAAGAGTCGTCATTGTCGCGATGTTCAGGATCAACTGGCTATCCTGGCAAACATGTGCAGTTACGAGATTCACTTAGACCCTGACAGAGTAGCGAAGGACTGTGATTCGCTCCGACTTAGTATCTTGGCCATCACGCTGCTGAATGGAGACACGTCCCTCCTGGTGCCTGAGGTCTATGACTTCCCTGGCGACGAAGACGGAGAGCCAGACCCTTCTATGGACCGCCGCGTGGGGAGTCTTCTGTCACCCTTTGACACGGACTCCAAAAGGGTTAGTAGCTACGCAGTACAAGACGGCAAGCTCGTCAACCCGGCCGTATACAAACATAGTTTTAGGAGGAAGAGCAAAGGACTCCATCTATGTGCATACCTCTGGACAGTTGACGATACTCTCGATCTCAGCCCTCTGAGATATCAATACGCTGAGCTCTGGCATAGGATGAAGTGCTTGCGCATCATCGTGGACCGCCAAAAGGAGGAATCTGCCGATGCATTCGCTAGGCGAGAGGGTTTGATGACCCAACATTTCTCCAAGAACTACGTCAGGGACCAGGCAAAATTGGAAATCTTCCACAATGGTGTCATTGCTGCCGACTCGAGTGTTTGGGGAGGCCTAGATGCGAGGGGAATTCAGGTCAAAGTATACCTTGACGCCTACCGCGTAGAAGCGGAGCCCGAGATGCAGAGGATCGTGGCGGAGATCTTCTTCGCCATCTTGCGATACTTACATGGCCTCTGTACCACCCAGTCGCTAGGCGCTGCGAACAGCATCTGGCAATCGATTCGCACGGATGCCGTCTATGGACGTAAACCAGATATGCCAGACTTGGTGGGTGAGCAGCTTTTTTCACATGAAGACGTTCTGGAGGACCCTTTCAGAACGCTTCAGCTGGATAAGGATCGAGGCGGCGGCTACTACCAAGCTTGGATCGTGGATCGGATCATGCAGGAGGGTATCCTCTCCGTCGGCAGGTACAACCGCGCCCTCGATGCTCCGCTGACAGGAGTGAAGCCCAGGCCGAGCTACGATTCAGGGGAAGGATCAAGTCGGCAGAATGATGGCAAAGTTCCAGACAACATTATCCAACGACAAATCCAGCGACGAGTTCTGGCAACGCTCTACAGTTCTGGCCTCGAAGGAAGTTTCGACGCCCTCGAAGATCACGAAACCAGGATCGTCCCGTCCAGTCTGGCTTGGTTCGGAGAAGCTCTCAAGCGAGAACTCTTCACGGCTGAGGCAGAGCAAGCCCGGACGCAGTAGCTCGTATCGATCTTCGACGTGGATGGACCATGCCTCGTTGGTACCGTCTTCAACTCAGACTGGGAAGTGCTGCCTCGTCCTGATATTAGGAGTATGAGTATCTGCTGGGTGGTTGAAACGCTGGAGAAGGCGAAGTCGGAGACCCCTGGGGACCAGAGCGCCGCTGTCGATGGAGAGCAACCCATCGTCAACGGGAAAGAAGAGGAACCTGGACGACCACCTTCCTTATCTGACACTGAATATTCTATGACAGGCGGCAAAGGGAAGGAACCTGAGCGGGCACCCTCTACACCCGACGCTAGTGATCTGGGAATAGCCTCAAACACAGAGTCCGCCGCCCCAATACTGTACCGAGTGGTGAAAAAGGTGAAGGGAATGTGGCGGATGATGGACTTGCCGATGCAGGAATACGCTTTCGTCTAGTCTAGAGGTAGCCAACGACTTGCAACACATCGAGGCTATGAGTAGGTAGCCAATCCACGTCACATCTGAGGGAACAAAAGGGAGAGAAAACCAAGGTGATAGCTAGAGTCAATCAACATAGCAAAAAGTCAAAAACATACAACACCAGGTATTCGCTGGTCGTCACCGACCCAACTACTAATCCGGCCCTCATTGGCTTATCTATGGGAGAGCGGACGGGATCCCGAGTTTTCCAATGGGTATGGTCGTATGTGCCGGTTAAACAGAAGCAAACAAACTAAGTAGACAGAATGAGAGAAGCACATCGATGGTGTAACTTCAAACCGTACAACGACCCTTTTGCCCATTTTCAAATCTCAAAAGACCACCGAAAGGCTCAGGTTATCAACAGCACGAAGGCTCAGCACTAGCCCTTCAACCCTGCCAAACGGCGAAAACGGAGGGAGCAAACCGTCTCGGAGGGAAACCCCCAAGCCCTGCCGTCTGTTGGCTGACGGCCGGCGGGCACACATACATACACACACTTCACCGGATTTATCGGCTCTCGCCCCTCGCGCCCCGGGGGTGTAGGCGGTCGTACCAACCAAAGTACGGGATAGCGTCCCCAAGGATACGGGACACACGGAGGATATTGGCCTTTCCGCGTGACAAATCGTACTGCCAACCCTCACAGCCGGGGGAGAAGGGACTGCAACCACCACGCACACACACACACACACACACACACACACACCACCATCTTCGGAACCCAAGCGGCGGTTGGTCGGCGGTGGTATCCGGCTGTCTCGGCGCGTTGCCCGGAGTAGAATCATCGGGCGAATCGGATAGTGTATATGCCAGATATCGCGAGATCTTGCATCTCTCTTGACAGCCACTGCCACAGCCAACCACATAGGCGAGATGAGAAAGCCAGCGTAACATTTGGGATTCTGCTTGTCTCCCTTCAAGGAGACAAGGAGGGGAGGAGACGGGGACAGGGGAGGAACCACACAATAATTTGCTCTGAGTCCTAGGAGCTCTCTGCTGGCCCCGGGTTGGACGGCAACAACCGACGAGTGACTGGTACCCTTGTCTTGGGTATGGAACACGACAGAATAACTTTCTCCCCAACTCTTCAAAGGCACAACCTTTGGACGGAATGGTCTATCAGACTGCAACGTTGACGAGCGAACTGTCAAATCCCCTCTTTCTGCGGCGCCCGGTCAGTCGAAGGAGGGAGCGTATCAGATGACAGTCTCGCAATTTGAAAATAGGAAAACTGAGTGATTTGAAAGCCCTGAATGTGCCACAGCATCACGCTGAGCTGAGTGTTTTGCTTCGCCGTCTCGGGCTCGAGGTGTTCAAGGTCGGTCTGCTGCATAAGGAATGCCTGGCACATCTAAGATTGAGCGACGCGGCGTGTTCTCAGAACGAAGCATGAAGTGGATGGCGAATACGGGGATTACGGCCGTTCGTGCCCTCACATCCCCAATACCAAGGCCACCTGCAAATGTGCTCGCTGGCTAGCGCGCGCCCAGAGAGGCGTTTTCCTCGAGCCGCAACGCACTAGCAGAACGGCAGACAGGCACGAATGCTGGGAAGAGTGCCTCCCAATCCAATCGCAACGCTTGAAGCGCTTGAAGCCACGTCCCCCTCACCTGCAAGCCGCAAGCACTGTCTGATCTGACCAAGTATCGGCAATCGGCTCCCTTCCTGAGAACCAATGGCGGCGTTTTAGGGCAAGGCTAGGTGGGAAACGCCTGGAGACGACGGGACGTGCTGCAAACATGACCCGTCTCGGCATATGAAGCTCTTGTAAGGTCAGTGCAGGCCCCTTTCCTTACCTAACGTCCCATAGCTTCATCGCCTCAAGGCGACCGCGTTCCCTTAGAGCGTTAGGCCATCCCAGGTCGACCTGGTCTGAACATTGGTAGTGCTACCATCTGAGGGGAAGTGCTCGGAACCCTCCCGCGCCAGCCTTGTTTCAACGACGCCCTATCAAAGAGAAGCAGCGACGACGTTCACCAGGAGGCATAGTAGACGACGAGCTGGCCGGATGGAGTTCAACGCCTTTCCTCCCGCTTGGGCCAGCGGCTGCCAGGAGCCAGACGCAAGATGTGGATCGCAGGACTTAGAGGAGCGGCCTACGGAGTACGTGCTCGATCACGACTCCGCGGGTGGTCGTCCTGAATCAAGTCCATCATGGCAATCATGACCATGCCTGGTATGTGCGTCTGCGGGAAAGCGGGTTCGATGTTTCGATAGATGGACGTTTGCCTGAGGAAACTAATCATTAATAACTAGACGCGCCTGTATTAGCTTATTCAAAAGACGTGGTGAAAGCAAGGAGGAAAGACCTAGCAAAGTCTCCATAGAGGCGGTTGGTGAATGAGGGGATTGGTGAAGAAAGTCGTCAAGGGCTGGTAGGCCAGGATGCAACGTGGGAAAAACCTAGTGCGGGCTGTGCAGGGAACCGTACAAGGGTTCGACGGACCACTCGCATCTCTGGAATCTTTGGGCGGAGATCAGACGATGCGGCTGATGGAACAGAGATCGACCGCTCCTCCAGCTTGAGCTAGTGTAGTCGCCCACCGTCCGCGGGCTCTAGCCTATGTGCGTCGACCAGGGCTGGCGTCCTGTTTGTTCTGGAAGAACGACACGTTGAATCGCACCGAGTCTCTCGGACTGGGGAGCCTGAGAGTGGGTGACATTGACAAGCCCACTTGATATCGTTGTAGGCGGGCCGGAATTAGAGTTCGCAACTATGTTCGGGAATTAAGGCCACCAGCCATGATTTGCCGCCGAGAGAAGGGGGTTTGAATTTAGCATAGTTGGAATGATGGACGTGGATATGTGAACTGTCAATGTCATCCGGTACCGCAGGACAAGAATGTCGGGTTGTCTGTGGTTCCTTGCTGGAGGCGGGTTGTGAAGGATGGAAAACCAATGTTACGAGACAATATGATATGACCAGCCGCGGGCCGGAACGGCATTGCTGATCAGTGCAGGTAAGGGCAGTCGCAGGGAGTCGATGGTCTCACTGTCGAGTGCAATGACAGGCGCAGGCGACGACAGTTGCCAGTCTCGAGTGTGATTGATTCACCGGCTTGTTGGCTAGATTGCAAGCGAAAGTGACTGATCATGTATTCCTTCCCAAGCTCCCGATGAAATTGTACTAGTGGTATGCAGGAAGCAATTGCTCACCTTTTGGCAGGTCTGGGTTGGTGTGTGGTTGGGCTGGTGGCGGCACTAATTCACCTAAACGACATGGGAGCCGCTGCCGCCATGCACGTCGAATGCGGCCGGTCAACGTTTTCTTGGTACCGACGTCGCGACTCGAGCCCAATGCGGTTCGCTCGTCAACGTATGCATGCATATGTACATTTATCCGCACATGAATAGTGCGGCACGTAGCGATGCTCTGCAGTGCAGCCAGGCGCCTCTATCTATGCCTTCGTAGCATACCGCAGTGAAAGACTTGACGCGGCATATTCTGACACCTGCCCTCTTGTGACGTGGATAATGATGGTTTGCTGTCGAATGGCGCATACACACATAACGTCCCGTCCTGTACGCCTCTCAGTTTGCATCATGATGTACGTGCGTAACGGTCCATGTTCGAAGCTGATGTGGATAATGTAGTATCCGTACCAGTTTCCGGTGACAGTCTTGTTATGTATTTTGTCTAGGGAGTCGCGCCGCATCGACGCATCGAATGCGCAGCAACGGTGCAGAATCGAAGCGGTAACCCTCAGGTAGGCGAGAAACAAACCGGAACCAAATCGAAAAGGAAAAAGAAAAATTCAAGCACAATGTCTGAGCGTGCCGGATTCAGTGCAGCGCAGCAGATCCGGGGGTCCCTGTTCGACAACGGACGCGGACAGGGAGTTGGATGGAAAACCAGACGAGCAAATCGCATCCATTTGCTGGCCAGCAGCCCGGATAATGGAATATTGCCGATTACAGAGTCCCCTCTGGTTTATGGGTCTCCCGGTTGGTTCGTCAGAGTTGTGTGGAGCATTAGGAGACGTTCAGTCCAAGTTCCCGAGTTCCCAACTCTCTAGCCAGTCTCCAGCCAGTCTCCAATCCAATCCAAGCCAGTCTCATCCCAATCCCAAACGACTTTGCGGGCCGAGAGTCGCAGGGTGCACGGAGGTTGTCGAACAGGGGCTCCTAGCTTGACGGCGGGAATCTGAGCGTCACAGTTCAAAGGGTTCACATTCAGTCGTTAATGTGAAAGTCTGTAGAGGGTTGAGACCGTTGGCTTGACATGGGCATTCTGAGCCTAAAAGTCAGCTTTGTTTATTGTCATCTTTCGCTGCCGATTGGATCCTGAGATTGAAGCTTGTGGTGAGCCCCTGCAGTGTTTGCTTCGCCGCCAAGTCTGCCTCCCGCGCCCAGCTGCACGTCCGTTCCGGTGCGGTTCGCGATTGGATTGTGAGCTGGTTGACAGGTGCAGCAAGTGTGTGGATGAGGTTGACTCGAGCAAGTAACAAGCTCTGCTCGCTAGCATGACATGCCATCGATTTTCATGCCCAAAAAGCCGCCAATACACGTCTGTTCATGAGGTTTCCGTACAGAAAGCCGAAAACGAGTCTGACCTTGCCGGTGGGATCCGACTAAAACGTCGACAGGCTACGAACCGCCGACAACGGCCGCTTATCTCGACGAAAAGTGAACTTCTCTCAGGCCCCGGGAGAGGGTCGCATGCGTGGTTGGAAGTCTTCAGGCCCGGCTAAAAATAAGACAGGGACAGGTGGTGAAAGCAGCCGGGCATCATCTCTGGAACTGCAACGCAGCAGCGTCTCTCGGCAACTGTCAAGCTGATCTCATTTCGCGTCATCCGAAGCCGTGACAGCTAGATGGTTGGGGGTGAAGAAATAGAGAATTTTGTTCAAGTAGTTGGAGAAGGTCCAGGGCAGCTAGCCACGATGTGTTTCTTCATCATCCATGTGCTCCGAACGGTAAGTTCCATTGCTTGCCAATCCACCGGGACCGTGGGAAATGACGATGGGATGGTTAGGCGCGGCAGCGTAACATTGTCTGAAGAAAAAAAAAAGTTGGGATTCATTTGCCGCACGAGGGCGAGAGTCAACCAGGCTCGAGGTGTGTGACTGTGTGCCTGGAGTATATTACATAGTGTATCCGTACTGTCTGGCTCCATCCACGTCCATCAAACAGCAAACCGGGTTCCATGATGCTGGGAACCTAAGTGGTGGGGGAGCGGTACTTTCCTGCATCTGGGATCGTGGTTCCATCCGGAGGGGAAAAGCGGAAGATTTCTTGTCTTGACGAGAGACGGGAGGAGACGACAGTCCCAACGACAGGGAAGCGGTGCCTTTCGGGTTAGAGGAGCGAAGTGGAGTGGGAAGACCCGTGTATGGTCCCGCCGGCGGTGCTGTGTCCGGATATTGTCTCGTATGTACGGTTCTTGGTAAGGTATGCTCTTGTTCACGATTATGTCGAGTATTCTGTACATCCTTATCTGCCACCACGGCGGCGGGTGAAAACCCTAGGGCGCAATGTATGAGATGACTGCAGAATTCGAGGTGAGGAAGGAGGTCAGGGTGACGAGGCAGGCACGTTTCTCGCAGTACATGTACTTACATCATACATGCACAAATACATAAAGGTATATGCATCTAGACGGCAGCGATCTTCGGTTTACTTCAACCCCCGCATTGACCAGGGGGCCCTCTTCTAGACCCTGCTGGGATCCTCCCATGTTGCTTGAATCTGCGTTTCCCTTTTGGGACATTCTTGCGAAACGTCCCTTGACCTCCTCTTTCTCCTCATCCCATCCAAGTCCCTTTCCTCACACTTCTCACCTCACCTCGTACCTCGCTCCTTACACCTGTCCTGTCTTCAACTCTTCTCTCACAAACCAAACGAACGCCGTGACAGCTTTTTTTCTCAGACAAGACATGCAACTTGTACCTTCTCGAGTTTCTGCTAGCTCCATTCCACCATTCAAGCCCCTCTTCACCCCGGTCCCATGATCCATCTCGGTCTCCTCCTTCTCTGACCTTCACGGCCACCTCCGAGTCCTTCCTTACAAGTTACCTGCCCCTTTCTCCGTTGTCATGTCGTTCATATCTCTCCCCTGCAACTTGTATGTACCCAAGGTACAAGCGGCCCTCGTCTCTGGGCGGATCAACTGAATTGAAACATGTTCTACTGTCCATTATCCACTCAGTCTTCTTTCTGCCCGGTGCCTCAGGACTGACTGACTGAGTGACTGACTATCCAATCCTTACCTGCTCTCTCCTCGTTGCTCTCCTGCTAGTAATTGCAGCAGGTACCTTACCCTCGCCTTCGCGGCTTGACACACGCAAGTGTCTCCAAGAGGTAGCTCTGTGAGTGTGGGTGTGAGGTGTGAGGTGTGTGCCAGGTACTCGCGCGAGTCTTCTCTTTCCAGCTTGTCTCTCTATTTTCCTCAGTCAGCTGGAGCTGTTACGGATGGTGGTTGATACAATGGCTGGCCTGTCTCAGCTTTCCTTTCCAAACCTGACCCGTCCAGTTTTGGCGCGACGAATGTTAGCCTTGAAAAGTCTCTTCCCTCCACCCTTCCTTTCTACAGATGGTCTGTCCTTCCACGTTCCCCATCCCTCACCCGCTCGTCTTCCCGTTCCCTTGGCCTTATCCTGTTTAATCATATCGCCTGGGCGTCTCTTGTTCTTATTTTGTTCTTGTCTGTCCATTCCCCATCTATTTCTTTTCGTCCGGGGGCTACTAGTCTTGTCTCACTTAGCCCTTGCCTCGCCTTGCCCTGCTGTCATCATCATATCTGAGTTGACCGGTCCGCGTCGGGCCAATATTGCGACTCCATTCTCGTTGGTTTTCCTTCCCCCATACTATTTCGATCCAAGGTACGGAGTACATTGTACCGTACGTACACCTCGACACATCAGCCCCATACACGCACATACGGTTACCCATACACATACATATACACATGCGTACATACGTACCAAGCAAGCATCCTTCTGCACCTCACCTTGCCTTCTTCTTGCAGACGGCTTCTGCGAGTTAATGTAGATGGGCCCCCGTTGACCCCATCAAATCCCCATCCAGCCCATCCCGGCCCTCGATCCGACCACTCTCCTCCACCGGTACCTCCTCATCTTCACTACGCCATCTGCTCCTCGTTGTCGGCGCTCCTCTAGTCGCTTCCGTCCCGCAGTCGCCACACGGCTAGCTAGCTGCTGCTGGCTTACTTGGGTCATCTAACTGTACCCGCTCGTGACATTGTCCGCAAACAGATTAGCCCCGTCTGTCAACTGGCGGATCATGACTTCGGACCATCCTAGCTCTCTTCAACAGCACAACACCTTCGAATTTGATGGAACCGTTGATAAGACCCTTACTTCCCCCCTCTGTGCCAGCCACGAGGTCTCTTCACCTACTACCTTTCCTCGACACCTCTCCCCTCCCCTGACTCTCTCCTGCTCGTACATGTGGAAGCGCCACATGTCGGCGAATGGCTACCGCATCCTCCCTCCGTGCAGCGCCACAGAAATGGTCTCTGAATGACCTCAGCTCCGAGCTGCTGGCTCTCATCTTCGAGCAGGTAGGTTCTTCGGACGGTTGCAGAAGCTTCATTGGCAACGCCACCCCTTTTCACACGCAATTGCTTACGAAGATTTTTCAGCTCCGAGAGATAGACGAGCGCGCTCTTGCTGCTGTGCGGTGCCTGTCCAGGCGCTTTGAGGCTATCGCAACTCCCGTCACCTACCGAACGATTTGCCTGAACGAGCGCATTGTTGCTCCAGACGCCGAATCGCGGTATCCCAATCTCTTGCGCAATGTGTCGTCTTACACCAACCACGTCGTCACACGGAGCGATCTCGACCCTGACGGCATTCGGCGGGTGCTGGACAGGGTCCAAAGGCTAAAGACTGTGCGGTATGCTACTAGTGGTTTTTATAGCTTTTGGAAGTAATTTGCTGACGATGCTCATAGGTGGCACTATGTCGATGCTGAATTCCGATCAGGACGACTCTGGCTCCCATCAGACGTGCTCAACCCTCAGCAGACACGATTTAACGGCACGAAACTGTTCGTCGAGGACTTGCCCCTGCGAGAATTCGAGGGCCAACTACGAGACACCTACGTCCGAGCGATTCCCACAGACCTTCTTGTCTCGCTCAAGCTTGCGAGCCCCGCCCCGCCGCTCACGACACGATTGAATTCCCTAAAACAGCTGCTCCTGCTCTCCCGTCGCCTAGAGACATTTCATTACGAAGACCGTGGGCAGGGGACGAATTTCAAGTTCGTCCAAGGAGAGCGCATGCCCCCGCTGAAAGACTTGGCCCTCAAGTCTTACGACTGGAATCATTCAAAGGAGGACACCCGAGCCCATTGGGACTTTTCTCAGCTCGAGTCGCTCGACCTGAAATATGTGCCTGTCTTCAACTTCCTGTCGACTGTGGATTTCCCGGACTTGGCGGGCTTGCGACATTTACACTGCGAAGATTTCAGCGCCCACCTAGTTGATAAACGAGAGGAGGCCACGGGCGGTTTATACTTATTGGTGGCTAATCACATTCGGGCTTTGCAGACCCTCAATGTGACCTGCCACACCCGTCTATTCCCGCTGGATGGCATTTTGAGACATGGCGAATCTCTCCAAGTGCTCAAGTTCCGTGACCACATGGGTTTTGGAGAGGAGGACCGACGCTGCCCGACGCTTTGGGGCGAGGATATCGCTATTTTGGCGCAAGGTCTACCACACGTGCACACGCTGGAGCTGGATATGGACGTGGCCATGTGCGACCCGACTGAGTTCCTCCGCGCTCTATGCAGTTTCCGCAGCCTTCAAACCATCACACTACACGTCCAGACCGTTCTCCACGCACTCGAGGTTGTTCACCCGGGAATGGACCGCGACTACGACGCGGCCTTGCGCACTTTTCAGTTTCTGCTACGAGAGAAGCAGCTCGCGACGCCCGACGTACCCTGGAAGCAAATCACGATTAATGTAGGCGGATGGCGCAAGGTCATGGTCCGTCGCTTCAGCGCCGCCTGGCGTCGCCAAAATGAAAACGGCGTGTACGCCGAGCGTTGTTTTGTGCTAGAGAGAGCCGATAACGGGCAAATGGCATACCGAGAAGAAATGAGTATCGAAGGCCGCTCAGCAACACCAACGCCCGATCCTCCGACACCGAACATGGATACCGATTACGACTAATAATGCCGAAAAAGGTACGGACCACGTTCGTGTTGCGAGGAACGAGAGCAAAATACATACAGAGAGAGAGAGAGAGAGAGAGAGAGAGAGAGAGAGATTCGCATGAGATACCAGGAGGGACAAAAAGACCACAGCAGGAAGGCAGAAAAACCACTGGGAGGCACTAGCATACAGATGGAGGAGACTGGCAACGTCAGCACTCTAATCTTAATGATACCAACGATGTTCATGACCATGCACCATTAGCGTACCCATCGCATCACGAGTGCATGTTCCTGCAGCTCTTGCATATCTCTGCAGGAGGGTTTTCTGTATCCGCCATGGCTCCAAAACGGGGACATGCGTACGCATGTGCGTGCGTACTTGAAGCCCTGGATCGGGTATCCAGAACGTAGAACGCAGAACGCAGAACGCATCGTCCAGCCGAACCACAATCGGTTAACAGAGTTCGTCACCCGTGACGTGTCAGGACCCCTTCCCCAATCTCCTTCCATCCCCGCCCCAGGAATAGTAATCCATCTCCAATCGGGTATCGTTCGCGACTTGGCCTTCGTGAAGCACAGGGCAGCTGGGTGAACCCGCGTTGGCCAAGAGCGGGGGTTGAGTGAGTGAGTGAGTGAGATGAGTCGTTGGAGAGGAAGGATCCGTACGTGAGGGCTTGACGGATGTTTATGAATGCGGTTGTTTGCGATTGTGAAGGGGGGGGGGGGGGCATAGAGGATTCCGAAGTAAGGCAGTAATTAGCATTGGTAGATTATGGCGGTTTTGGTGGGAGAGTACTGCGAGGCATCGTCACCTGTTGGTTCTAGGTGATTCCATCTCGACTGGTCTGATGGGGAGGATGCTCGTTGGACCAGGGAGTCGCCGTGTGGACAATTGAAGAAAGGATCCCCAAAGCGATGCAGACATGGTTCAAGATACCTTGGGAATGAGAACTCGGCGGATACGAATTGACGGATATGGGACCACATCAATCTCGTGATGCATAATCTCAATTAGACAATTCGAACCAAAACCTAAGAGTCGGGACATCTCCAATCGCGCTCGCTCGCTCATCCCCACCCCGGGCCTCGTGGCCAAATCTAGGCACGGGCAAACCCGAGATTACACACTCCTTTCGGGTGCGCCAAGGGGGGGATTTGCGGGAGGGTCGGGAAGGTCCTCCCCACCCCGGCCCTCCCCCGTTCCGCTCCGTTTTCCCCGCAATTTCCGCAGTAGCATCACACCGACTGAGCCTGTCAGGTGAACTCTATCTCACCGAAGCACAGACCCCTCGATTCTTCACCTCGGTGAGAGATGCAAGATCACGACCTCACCTTGCTTCACACCTCGATCACACCGAGGGGTGGAGGTGCGCAAGAGGAGACGTGGGCAGAAAAAACGAATGATTATATTTTAATGTTCCAGTAGATTCTCTGGGTCTCAGAGATAGGTCTTTTGCATTTCATCTTCGTCCTCCGACGATGTGGTGGTTGCTTTGGTGGTAATGAAGCCAAATGTGTTGCGGGTAAAACACAATTTGCTGGCAGGCATGTAGCTATCCTAACAAGGGATAGACGAACTCGTTCAGACGTTCGTGTGCCTGTAGTGACTCTGTTCCATCGAAGTAGTTCATGTATAGTCACCTTGGGGCTGATCTAAAGTCATGTAGCTCCCAAGCTTTTGTAATATGAGTCCGAAACCAGGAAGATGTAAGCACATTTATGTCTCGGAGGATCTGAAGCCATGTCCCACGGGGAGAATGCCAGAGCATCCCGAATTGTGTATAGGGTTCATCCTGAATAGTCCTGCCCAGCTAATATCGGTGCTTTAGCTCATACTTTTGCATCATGGGATCTGAGAGGCTGAGATCAAGCAGCCGATTTGCGCGTCGAAGTATCCTAGCAGAGAGGGGAAAGAATTGCTTCCGACACGATGGTATGTATCATGGTCTCATTTGAGCGATGCTACTTGCAGTCGTTAATGAGTGTGGAAAGGTGTAAAAACATAATGCCAAACGTCTGCAAGACGCATTCGCTTTTGAAAGTCGAGAGGTTGGCTAATTGACCACGACCGAAAATAGCACGCTCGATAGCCCAAGCATGGCATGCCAAGAAGTCTTCTTCAGGAATATCGGTCGCTGTGGCATTTTTCCGGCCAAGATTGGCAGGAACATCGCGGTTTGACCATATCCAGCAGAAAAGCCACCAAATATCCCCAAGGCCGCGTTAGAATCGCGGGAGAGTTCCTCGCACGAACATAAGCACTCGCTTTCTCGAATTCCAACTTCGGCCGCTCTCTCGGGTGCCTGTCATCCGCCGATCGAGGTCCTGCACTGAAGGCATTGTCATCAGAGAGTGATCGTTCGAAAGCCTTGCAACTTGCAAGGCCATGACTCCACACCGTGTGAAGCTACCAGGTCCCGTGACAGATTGATGGTCAAACATAGCTATCGCTTTCCGAAATCATGTTTGGCGAGACATCGCGTGCCTTTGCAAAATCAGCCAAGGCCGGAAGTTTCTTGGGCTGGCTGAAATCTTCTCCGTGTCTTACATCTAGAGGGGGTGTTAGAGTGAAAAGTACGCACGCCACCGGGCCGTCCGTGTATAGGAACGAGACATGATTCCCGGGAATCTGGTCGAGTGGTTGACTAGCTTCCGCCATGGGCACACCAAAATGACTTGTAAGACATGTTCCAGCCGCGCCGCCCTCGCTTAGTCCCTTGGAGTGTATTCAAGCCCGAATGGTCCTGCGGACAATATGCCTGCATATTCTCCACCGTGCGATTTCGTGGAAAGCTTTGCTGGCCAAGAACTCTGTTTTCGCTGTCAGTACAAGCAACCCTAACCCTGAGACGTACGACTAAAAAGGTGGATGCAGAGGGGTGGCCAATGAATCTCGAGGCTCTTCCACAGCGAATCTCAACCAAATTGCCTCTATGATCAAAGATTTTCCCTTTTGTTCTCTGCAGTTCCCGCACTTTTTAGATCAAGACTGAAGACCAAGACCGTAACTGGATTAGTGAGCCGGGGAATGCCTTGGGCTGACTGAGCGCGGATCTGGGCCGTCCCGAATCTTCTTGCTCCTCCACACACTGCGCAGATGGTGTGGAATGTATGCGGCCATGACAACTCGATAGCTACCCAAGGGTTCTACAGGTATTGGCCGAGCGTCATTCCTCGGATTGTTAGGGCCCGGCAGTTCGGGTCGCGGAACGGCAGGAAGGTTTCGCAAGACTCGGATGGCTGATCTAGTCAGCAGGGTGCTCCGGCTCCCTCAGCTGGCTTGAGACGGTTGACAGCCTGGCGGTAATTAGCAGGTTTCTCTTTGGAATGTTTGCGCTGAAGTTATTGTTCCCTGACAGCTTCCTAGAGCTACCCACCATCATGTTTGGTCTCGGGGATGCTGTCGGCGCAGAAGTGCGGTAGTCGATGTATGGGTCTACTTTTCATCATATTCTCGATTCGCTTTCGTCCAAAGATAAAATGCGGTTTTGTCGAACAGTGAACAAGAGTTTGACGTTTCGGCGGGAATGACAGACAATGACTGGAGGTCAATTGGGATCGGCAAACGTTCCCTGGCAACCTGACGAGAGGCATTCAAGGGAGAAGGTCAGGCCAGGGCTAACGGTGATGGGGTAGATTGATGGAGAGGGAGAGACACTGTGGCTGCTTGTCTCTTCTTTCCGCCTGTTTGCAGCTGCACAAACGTCCTGTCGGTGCTGGATAGGCGTCGATTTGATTCAGTTCGTATGTACGTGCGGGTATGCTTCCCGGTCGATACGGATAGATGCAGAGACACGCATGTAGCGACATCAGACATGTCTCGACTGTCAGCGCCGTCAGTTGTCTCTCTATAAACCTGTGGTTTGTTTGGAACTTGTTTGGAGACTCGTAACCTGATGGAAGTGCTGGTCTGGTGGGATGGGGTCAAGGGACGCAGCAGAACCTTCTTGTCGGGCTTTTGCTGTACCAAAATTGAGGAATGTTTGACTGACCATTGAAGTATGTCGGTGCCCACCAACATTCGAAGGACTCCGCTTGAACCACTCTGACGAAGATTCGTTTAGGATAGAAACTCGCCCTGGAAAGGGGCCTTGACGCGTTTGAATACCAACGTCATGTTGATGTCAGGGATAGGTCGAGTTGGAAACAAAACCACACTCCACTCCATACGATACCAGAAGACGAAACAAACACTGGTAACAATTGATTAATGACATTTCTGCTACCAGAAGTGGATAGACGAAATCTAGAGTGTACAGTCAACCGTCTGCACACTGAACCAAAAGCTTGAAAACAATGCTCGTCACGAGTCGAGCACCAAGGTTTGTTTCCTGTCGCATAAACTGATGGAAAGAAGCAGCGCCTTGAGCTCAGCGCAGTTGACTTTCCGTTCCCAGCCAGCACATTGACCTGCTCTTACCTTAGAGCTATTGTAATATTACCAGCTTTCCCATTCCTCGGTAGTCCTTGCTCTCCCGCCTTCCTCCACGGCCGTTCATCTGTTTCGTTCTCGACCCGGCGCGCCCCAAACGTTCCTACTTTCCACAACGACACGCCATTCAGCCGGTTCGGGAAAGCCTCAATGTACATCTTACCTTTGCGCAGCACGGGATGGACGGGCTGGAAAATCGGTCAAAGTCAGGTACGCAAAAGCGTCGCCGTTTTCGGTCACCACGCCGTGTCCTAAGCACTCTCCCCTCACGCCCCCTTGCCACGTTCCTGTCCTGCCGTCATCTTTCCTGGTACCCCATCTTACCTTTCGCATTCGTATCTCCTCTTCCTCCCATTCTCACTCTCATCTCTGTCTCGGGCTCCCCAGGTTTTCCTGTAGTCGACACCCTCACCGTGCTCCACGTCCGATGCCCAGTTTGACTGTACGAAGCCGCACAGTCCCTGGATCAGCGCGACGCATGTCAGATCGCCGGCTTGTCCCGGGATATCAGTCTGTATACGGTCAACGGCATATGCAGAACCCATCCATGTCTGGAGGCGCTGACGGCCGCATGACTCTGAGAC